TAGTAGTAGTAGTAGTAGTAGTAGTAGTAGTAGTAGTAGTAGTAGTAATAGTAGTAGTAGTAGTAGCAGTAGGAGTAGGAGTAGTAGTAGTAGTGGTGGTAGTGGTAGTGGTAGTGGTAGTGGTAGTAGTAATAGTAGTAGTATAAATTATGGACTAATTATGGGTCCATTTTTGACGTGTACTAAATCAAAGATTTGCTTTTGGTTTTTGGAAAAAAGCAAATACTATAGATACAGATCACCTGCCAAATATAGAACTAACATTGAAGGAGGACCGTACGTCCACAAGAATCAGAAATCACCCCTCCCACTTGGAGCCAAGGTCCCTAGCCCCACTCTTTTTTCTTGCCGCTGTTCCCCGGCCACGCCTTGGTGTCTGGCACTTCGTCATCAGCTTCCACCTGCGTGAGAAAGGAGTCACTGCAGGGAAGGTACAGGGTTCTTTGAGCACTAAAAGACATGGTGGACCAGGTTTCATAGTGTACAATCTTGAGTAAAACCGTGCTTGTGGGTAAAGCCGATAAAGTCAGAATTCAACCAATATAACTACAATTTGGTCGGAACACGTTGGCACTCCCTTGAGTAACTAAGCATGGAAGTGGATAGCCTGATCCCTTGGATGACCATTTTCCGAATACCAAGCAGGTGGTAAAAGTTCCACTTCCAGACAGTGTATCGGGAAGGGGTTCACAAGGCTGTAGGTGAGAGCAGTTTGCATCAACGACGCCATATGTTGTATATAAAATGTCGTTTCCCTTCTGCTGCAACATTTGCAGCTCTGGGTTCAGATGGGCGGGCCCGTGGACAAGTTACATGGCCAGTGATGGGTGGTTTTTTGGTTCGCACGGGCAACCGACATTCCTCCACACTCCCATCGCAACCCTGAAGTCTGCAGGCCATCTGGCCATGGCATCACAGTTGCGATACTCTTGATTGCTGCAATCCTAGGGACAAAGGCGAAGCTAGCTAGCATCTTTGCTCCTCGAGAAACTTCCAGAAGGTGAAACCTAATGCCAATCTGAAACATTTCTCTGGCTACGGTGGTTTCTGAAGGGGTACACCGAGCGCTTAGGAATTACACCTGGACTTCACATTTGCTTTGTCCCTTCTGGAAACCTACTGTAGTGTTGGGTACTGCAAATATAGGCTCGAACGGATCCTTCTGGAAATCGAGAGCAAGGTCGCCAATCAAAGATTATTGAAACATATTGAAATTATTTGTGAATATTGGGTTATCATCGTTTATCATGGAAATGTACCCTGGGAACGGCGCACAATAATTGCCTTCCAAGAAAAACGCCAGTGTTTTTGCTGTGAGAATGCGGCGTATATATATATATATATTTATCATATTTATAAATATGACCATAGCAGTTCAACACGGTGTTGAGGCTTCGAGTAACAGATCCTTCCAAAGTCCGGCTGTGCATGATTTGCCTCTTCTCCCTCTCTCATCCAACGTAGCCTGGGCGTGGCGGGAAATTCACTGGACACTGATCCAAGGTACAGCCAATCATCCCGCTCCCCAGCGACACGCTTGGAGAGGCTCAGACGGCTTGGCTCCACCAGGCCAATCCAAGAAACCAAGACCTTTTTGGCGCCCATCAACCTTTTTGGCAGCCATCTAAGCCATAGAAGGGAGTTAGAGTGTCTTTTCTGATCTGAAGCCACAAAAAAAGGGTTCGAGGTCAACCCGGATTGTATTTTTAACGTCCCCTCTTCCTTGCAGACCCTTTGCTTTGCTAGCTGGAGTCTATGGTGACCTAACGCTAAAAGATGTGCCCTTGGTTCCATCCCATGACACCGGAGATGGAAGACACAAATACAAAAATATCACATATTTAATTATGCGCATATGGTTCCTTGACGCCTGTTTGAATAAGCTTAGTGTGTGGGCCCCTCACCCGTTCAACAACGTCAACTCTTAGCCGCCCTCCAATTTGCTCTCTCACAACCTCAGCGAACACAAAACAGATTTCACACGCAGAAAGGTGCGCAATTTGACGAAAGGCGACAACGTCGTGTTCAACTGCGCATACACCTCTCAGCTAAGCCTTCATGAATATGGCTACTTCCATGGCGCAATGCACTTGCGCAATTTTTGGACGCGCCAATCCTTTCGGCGACAATCATAACCAAGCCTCTCTGGCTCAAACACCACCTCGCTGTGCTCTTCTGGTGGCAGGTTGCTCGCGTCGGCGCCCATAAGCCTGAGCGTCTCAGCTGTTTGTACTTACTTCCCTGCAGAAATGATTCCTCCGATATGGTGTCAGGCGGTCCAAATCACGCACCAAAATAACGCCATCACCAGTGACCTGGCGTACACGTTGCCCAGTGCGATCATGGAGAGGCACCATACCAATGGCATAATCATCCAAGGATTCAATGCCAAGTTCGAGATGGATTTGATGAACTTGTTTTTTCAGTTGCAGGCAGAGCACCTTCAGGTTTGCTAGGTTCACACGACCATCTAAGATTCTTGCGACTCAATGCTTCAAAGCTCAAGCAACACAGGCTCATCAATCGATCCGCAACCTTGGCCCCAAGCCATCATCCACTGTCTTGCTGAACTCACCAATTCTGTGCTTGCTCAGGCCAGCCAGCCTGAACCAAACTTTCCCAATGCACTATCTTGAGTGACGTGCGCTTCCATGGACCTTTTGGCCGTGCTGTCGACCACGCTCCGGCCGAAGATCACAGGCTCGCCTCTCATCAGCGTGCGAAGCATCATGTAATGGGCCAAGATGCTTGCAAACAGAGGGTACATAGAGATGGATTGGTCTAAACATTGCCAGAATCATCTAAAGGCGTCCGGGCCATTTTACTACACGTCATGCCGTGTGTGACTATGTATATGTCTGACCGTCTGGCCGTTCCCTCTTCAAGGCATAAAAACCTGCAGCTAATAAGAAGCCTGGGCGGCTGTTAAGCTATAAACCTGTGGTTGATCTTGAGAAGCCTCCCCAGCTTCTCAACTCAGTCAGTAAAAGTCCGGAAATGAACCGCTCCAAGTTTTACACAGGAAGCTAATGCCGAAAACAAGTTCTGTTTAGATTTTCACAAGTCCGAGCATGTAGGTTAAGAAATTCAGAACTTCACTGAAACTTAGTTTCCCGTTGTGTTCCACAATAAGCTTTAAACCCAAGTCTGGAAAAGTCCGGACATGAGTTGCTGGCTTATTAGTTAAATCTGAAAATTCATTCACAGGAACTGTTACAAGTTTAATCCAAATTCAGTTTAACACACACTGGACTCAACGCACCTTCCACATATTTTCCTCCAGCATTTGTCGGAGTCACCCCAGCCTTTTTGGCCGTGCCAGCGGATCCCGTTATGGAGGGTGGGTGCAGGGATGGATTCGCTTCTTCTCCTTCCTTTCCCCACTGAACACCCACTGATCCCCCCACAGTAAAACTGTCATGTTTCATCCACTATATCCTTCCTCATGATCTCTTGAGGTCATTTTGACGGACTCGCGGGCCCACGGGCTCGCGGCCCCCGCGGGTCCGCGCCGGGTCCGAGTTTATGGGCAGACCAGGAAATCTGGGGATGCGCTGGTCCAAATGCGCCCAAGCCCACGGTAGTCCGGTGGGTGTTCCATCAGATTTAACAAACACCATCCGATCGGGCAAGGTCCCTGCCGCTGAAAAACACCTACCTCAGTCCTTGCGGGAAGGCCCGGTCGCCGGCCCGGTCAGAAGGACAACTCAAATAAGCCAACCGAAATGGTGGTGAGTTCACTTGGAATATATAACGTATGCCGTATGTCGTTTAATTGTCCCAATGGGCGGCTTTCACGTGAAAAGAACATATCCACAATTATCCACAAAGACTTCACCATTTTGGCTTTCGGGTTTTCTCTAATCATAATCCCATCCTCTGCGCATCCGTTTCAAGAATTTCACGGTGCAGCTGAGGGGCAACAAGTGCGCCAAACCCTTTGCTTCGCCTAGGAGGACATGGCCCCAGGTTTGTCGTCAAAATAGCATGTGACTCATGGCTGTTCAACACAGAGATCTGGTTTCAGGGTATATTATATGGATTTGATCTTCATGTACAAGTCAATATGGATCGTAAAAACATGCAGCCCACCAAATAGAGTCATAGAGGTTCGAGGAAATCTCCAAAAGCTCTGCTCTAGAAGTTCCAGTGGGGTTGTTATTGGAGGGTAGGGGTACCATGGAGTACCCATTGAAAGGTCACTGATTGGGACTGAATACAACTTCTTTGGATCTATAGTGCTTGGGGTTCATTCCCTCCTTCCACTCATCTTCTACCAGCCCTGCCCGAATCAACATCACAATCGATCTGTCGCTTTGCAAAATGATCTTCTGCTTCCTGGTTTGGGGAGGATCGCCTGTCACCTTTGATAGCCCCAGCTACATTGATTCCCTGGAAATAGAACACCCTCTGTTGCGAAGGACATGCTGTTTTTCATGTTTTTCAGGCCATACAAGGCATTTCATCCACCATTTCATCCACCCGTGTGAGTGAATCCAGGCGGTTCGCCTGTCCTGGTCCTTCTTCTTTTTTCACAGGCACTGATCTACAGTTTAATATATGAAGTTTAAGTGTATGGGTTTCATCTTTTCCAAAAGGCACGGGAACCGCCCCGCACATGAGTTTGGCCAAGGGTTCAACCCAAAAATCGAGTGGCGATTGTCCTAAACACCGGAACGACCTGACCCACACGGAGAAATGACTGGTGTGCACCTATCTAAAACCTGCCCTGAGTGGCTTTAAAACCCTGATTCCTGATGATCATTGGTCGCAAACCCCAGTCCTCCGCCCTCCCCATCGCCACGGCTTTCTTTCCGCATTCACACGCGGAACTGCGCCGCGCCGACGCCAATCATCGTGCTCTTCACGGGTTTCGAAGGTGCCTGGAAAGGAGGCAGAGTGATCTGATTCGAGCGGTCTTAGAGACCTGAACCCAGTTTCACCTGGCACACATCCGTCACAAATGTGGTGCAAAGCATACAATTACTGCTACAATATGCAATTCATAGGCCTAGTGCAGAGAGATCATCCTGAAAACCAAGCAAGTGTGGTAGCGAGATTTTCGTGTTGATGGCAACTGGTGGCTCAAAAAAACAACCCGAAGCAAGAATACCTTTTCTTACATGACATGGTGGCGACTCGGGTAATGGAAGCTAGCTAAAAGTATAGCTTTTAATATCAATGCTTGCAGTCTCCATGTTCCGTTGAACATGGGTCCCAGCCCTAAACAAGATTCATCAAGATTCCTAATTCCTGGCAAGTCGTCTGCCCAAGTCTGCCAAACAAAAAAACTATAGTCAGGATTTGATCCAAACGTAGACAAATCCGGAAGCCAAACGTATTGACACCCCAAACACTTCCTGGATATCGACCCTTGAAACTGAACCCACCAAACCCTGGCAGACAAATGCCAGTCCCAAAGTCCCATGACAATGTCTGGGTGTTTACTAGGCCTAAGGCTTACCACGGTGCCTTGGCTTTGGCCTTCCGCTTCGGCGCGTTCTCGGCCGCGGCAGGTGGGGCCGTGGTGTCGGCCTCCTCCAAAAGGCGGCAGGCGAGCAGGTACGAGTGGGTAGTTGGAGGGAGGGGAGAAGGTGTAGAAGGGAGTTATGACATGACCATCTGCACCTAAAAAAAACAACACCAAGAAGTGTTTTGTTTCCACCTTTCCATTGCACCTTGCAGAAGAGACTTATGCACCTTGCAGAAAAAACACTTCGAAGCCGTCTTTCCAAGATCCCACGGCAGAAAGAGAGTTCTGAAAAAAAGAGAGCAACAAGTCGCGAACAAGGCTCTACCCCCAGAGCATCCCAGAGCTTCAACTCTCGAACCCTTCGCGGCCCTTCGGGCTACGCATTCAGGAAAAGACATGCCCTTCAACGCTGGAGCCCCTCATCCTCTGGTGTTTCAACATCGGACCCTCTCAGCCGACCCTGAGAGGGGGGAGAATCACCCATCACCGAGGGACATGGAGGTTGTTGGGCTCTACCGGGAGCGCCGCCGGGTGAAAAGACATGACCAGTACAAGAAACAGCCTGTTTAAAACAAACAACAACAACAACAACAACAACAACAACAACAACAGAACCCCCCTAAAAACGACCACACGATGATATCATGAGATTGGGCTTCGGATCCCACAAAAAGAACTACGAGGACGATGCGATGCGCAAAGGTGTGCGAAGCAGAGCTGAGCTACACCGTTCATGTGTCCGAATGCGACGCACATCAAGAGAGTGGGTGCATGATTTCACCATCATGACATGTGACTGGTTGGAGTTCAACAATACCTGGAACTAGGATGAACTAGCGGAACACAGCACAACCCTTCATTTGCGTTGGTACTTACAGTGGTTGGGTGAAGTTGGGCAAGACTGGTGCTGCATTTCGTCCATCAATCATATTAATGGAGTAATCACATGACAAGCAGATTTTGCGGCTCAGCCAGTAAATAGGGCTGGTCCCTATCAGTTTTTGGTGCTTTGGACAATCTTGGATATGTGTCTGGGGCTGACCACCAACCACCTACTACCGATACCGTAATTAGTTATTCCGCAAAAATCCAGATCTTTTTTGCCAACATCCCTTCTTCAGTAATCTCACACTCCTATTCTCGTTTGCTCAAGATGCTTCCTTGAAGCATGTAAGCAGCCATATCATACCCCCCTGCCGAATAAAATGGACCGTGAACATGGACCCCATCTAAGACTCAGACTATTCTACCACCCAGATCCACCCAGTGGTGAGGCTTCCAAAGGGTATCCATAAGTTCCGATCACCAAGTGCAGAGCTCCCTGCTTCATCCTCCGCCCTTCATCCTCTTACCGTCTCGGTACACTCCAACACTCCCCCCGGGACCGATCGAAAAAGACCCATATCGCGGTGAACCGCCGGGTTGAGTAGAACCACGGAAACACATGATTCTGGCGACTCAACACTCCCGAATTTGGTGGTGAAACCATGGAAACAAAGTACTGTACATCTGAGTGCTACTACTCTGAGTGCTCTTCTTTCTCATCCGAGTACAGAAACCTCAGGATAGGCGCACCCAAATGAACCATGATTCTTTCTTGAAACTACCTCTTGAAACGAGTGCCAATTCCGAAATCATCGCAGGAACCTCCTTCCCGGCCTCCTTTTCCAGCTTTTCTTCGGCCGCATTGCGAGGCTGCACTTTGAGGGTTCCATTGAAGGCCTCAAGCAGCCCGAAAAAGGCCACTTGAAAAAATGCTGCGCACCAAATGTAGGATGTAGGATGATGTAGGACTGACTAAAGTCTGACTTCAAATATCTGAACCAAAAGTATCTTGGGCGTTGGCTCTCCATCTCCACTTCGGTTTGAATTTTGGTCTCCATCTGGGATGAGTTCGTGCGGGGGGAGTTCGTACGAGCCACTGGTGGTTTCACTGACCAACTGCCTACTGCCTATACTACACGCAAATGTCTGCGAGTTTCGCTCCATCCAGTGCCTGGACAAGTGCTGCCACTGCCATCAAAAAGATACATGTTACTGTCGCCACTAGAGTCTACTAGGGATGATGGATTCTCTATAAACTATAGTTGCTGTTTGCAGTGTCAGAACTAATTGCATGTAGAACAGGGCCCTCCTGGGCAAGAAAAAGTCCATGCTAGCCCAAAGTAGATGAGCCCATGATAGCCTCCAAGCTTCACTAATCAGAACGATGAATCACCAACGACCAAGTGGTTCTAGGGACTCTAGGGTCCCTTATGGTGAGGCAAAGCATCTCCTGCCTACACTCATTGTGGTTTGTAAAGCAATGCTGAAGCCTGATGTATTTCATGAGAGGTGCATAGAATTGTCTCCTAGCTACACCCCTTCCAAATCTCTTTCAAACCTCCAAGGCACGTTGCCCGCGGGCCGGTGTCTCCGCCTCTCTGCGCGCGCCTGACGTTCGGCTGAAAACGAAAACCATGATGACGGTCAGTGCATGCAAGAATGACATGATACCACCATGACCAAGGGCAATGATGTGGCTGTGGGTCATGGCCCATGGCACCAAGGAGACCGACTGGTTGACCTACCCAGGTGTTGGTCGTTCTCTAGATGGTGGACCAGGGCTCTAGGTTTGGACCCATCCCCATGTCCTTCTGGGAATAATTCGAGGAGTCAGTGCCGGGTACCATAGACTTATTGCCTGTACACTTGGGGATGCTCCCAATCCCCTGTGTAGATCAAGCAACCAATGGTACAAGGCCATCCGTGAAGAAGGGTCATGAACTAAAACTGAGTGATAAACAGGTTGGCTCTGAGGATTAGTATAGAGGATGTTCTTCACACGAGGGATGAAACTATGAAGCAAAGATCGACCAAGCATCCATCTTTCTCAGCAGCTATGAGGATCCTGAAGCCTTTGCTCAGTTGTTGAGTAGGTATGTGAGGCGAAGTCAAAAAGCTGTATCGACGCAAGCAGTATGGAAATCTGATCCTGCTAGACTGATTCCCCAATCTCTATCAGCTTTCCGAAGGGGTCAGAAACGTCCGAATCGGAGGGTGTTTGTACCTGCAGAAGATGGTCTTTGGATCCAAAAGTGCATTCAACAATGTTATGGTCCGCTCTAGGAGCTTCAATTTCACCCACAAAAACAGAATCGAAGGTTCCAAACATGTCCAAACCATCCATCGATCGCTATGACGCGGCTCGAAAGGTACTGAGACTGGTCCACCGGTAGTGCTGTGGGCGGCCTTGGCCTTGCTCAGTGTCTCGTCCGCCTTCGTCTCTCCCTTGGACGCAACACGTCTCTGGAACCGAGCCGGAAAAAACATGACTTTGTCGTTTGGTGTGTCGTGTGGTGTTTTCTTGATGAGAGACGGCATGGGCATGGTTCGAAAAAACTGTTGAATGTCTTTGGGGTATCGTGACCATCCCGGACAGCCATCATCAAGAACATATTCTGTACAAGGACCAACGAAGATCATCCAACATCAGTGTTTGTGATTGGGTTCAACACCGGAATAGGGTTCTAATTTAATATATATACATACATACTACTGCAATACATCCTAATATACATCCTAATAATAAGCATAGCAATAATATGGTTGCTCACTAGTCTCTTGAAGGATCGTTCCAATCATCCAAATACTTGGTAGGCCTAGGTGGTTGATGATTCCAGCTGGTAGATCCTAGAGTCTAACACTGCAAGGCACGTCTGAACACCTAGCGCCAACCGGGCTGACCCGCCATCTCTTGCCGGGGCTCGGAGGGCGCGGGCCTGGGTGCCGCGGCTCGAGCGAGGATGTTTCAGCCATTTGGATCCATTTGGTTGATGTTTTTTTTCCCCAAACAGGGTGGGCACACTGAGGGGTTGTTACGGTAGGTGAAAGGAAGCTGATTCTAAGGTATACTTGTAGACTATATATAGACTCTTTACTTTTCATTTGATTTGAAAAACCGTTCGATCATGCTCTAACCGTAGCCACCCCTGCAGGACAGTCCTGGTCCTGAAACCTCTGAGTTCAGAGTACCCTCCCTGAAACAATCGTTCATGGGCCAACGTGTATGGCATGAAAGACCAGGAAATCCGACTATCAAACCGGGTCCACGTTTAGGTTTATTGGAGGGATATCCACGTAATCGGCCGGTCACGGTCTTTGAGCATACTGGGCAGAGCCTGTGCTCAGCCTGTTAGCAAAACAAGGGATCTCGTGTGCCTAGGACCTAGGGTTCACTCTGACATCCATGTGAGTCATCCATGTGAGTCATCCACCTGCAGAAAGTATGTAATGTAAGAGAACCAGTGGCATCCAGTGACCAGTGGCATCCAGTGACCGGTGACAAAGATATTTTACAAAAATGACTGTCTCACGCAGGATGGTCACCTTCAAGGTCTTGAATGGTCGTCGATTTGACGGTCTCACGGGTGACGGTCTATATGGGAGGACGTCATGGACTTGCAGGAACTGTCAGGCTGGCGGAAGTTTCAGTCTCAAACCGTCTTAGAGAGTCCAAGATCAACTCCTGACCAAAGATCCAACTCTTGACCCTTCATCTTCATTCCGGACCGCACAAAGAATCCCAAACACTCCGTGGACTGTATATCCATGGGACTAGCATAAACTTATACCATTGGCTTGATTTATACCTTTCAGGGGTCGCGTGCTCATGCCAGTCCACCGTCGTGTCATTCGCGTCAACCGGGACGACCATCCGGGTCACGGCGGGGACGTAAGCATCTTCTCCTCGGCAGAAGGAAAATGAGCCCAGCGAAATGCAGGGCAAGACGGAAAAGAAGCAGGCCAGACGGTGTGTTTGAAAAATCAGAACCTTGCAAGACTGGTTAGGTAAGTTAGGGGGGTTGAACTCACAAAAACATACAAAAACCGCAAAAACACATGAGTCATGTGACATGTGACTTCAAAGGTTTTTCACAAAAAAGATCTGAAACCACCACCAACCGAAGTCACCGCCCAGGGCGGTTCTTGGTGGCACAGCCTGCAAGCCTGCAAGAACGGTGGAAAAAACGGATGCCAATCACCCAGAGATGATCTGTTTGTGACTGCCATCTTTGCCAAGAAACGGCCGGGACCGTTGATACGGCAGGAACCAAACTGGGGCGACGACATAGGCACCTTCATACCAGCACCTTCTAAGAGTCGGTGAGATTGGGTGAGTCTCTGAGCTGGCGATGTATTTAAAATAATCATACAGCAATCGTACATGTAATTGTGTCAGAAGTGATCAACCCCCAAATCTGCTGCCGATTTGTCCAAGGAATTGATGGAGAACTAACAATGCAAGCCTTTGGAATGTGTTTTTTTTTTGAGGAATGGTGTCAGCCACCAAACAGAAGGAAACTCATCTCGGAATGGACGTGACAACGACACTCCCTGGAATGATCATGGAAGTGGGAAAATGTCCCCTGGAAAAAGCATTTGTTGGATCATGTGGAATACCTAGCACTTTGTTGTAGTTAACTTTTCCAGGGAGGGTAGAAGCTGACTGAAACCATCACCCAGCTTCTGGCGGTGCTTCCTCACCATCGGCAACAGTGCTTGATCTGGATGGCTTCGCATCTGAAGGCCGTCTTGGAGGCTCTGATTGAACTAGCTCCTCCGCTTCTTTGGCAGGGTCTACAAGGTCCAAATGTGGCTCTGGATCAGGCCTCCGTCTTGGAGGCTCTGATTGAACCAGCTCCACTTCCTGGACAGATCCTCTTGCTTCAAGCTCAAGATCCTCTTGCTTCGTCACCACCTTTGGCTCAGAAAGCTGCCTTCTTGAAGGCTCCTTCTCGTCCGGAATCACTTCCGGCGCTTCCTTCAGCTCCTTACTTGATGACCGAGGCACCAAACAATCCCATGGTGTTCTGTAAAAAACCACCATCAGAACTCATCCTAACGGGTGGGCCACTCATCCAGCTTGAAGGGTGGGATGTCCGACCCAACACCGACCTCGCGTCGACTCCCGAGAATTCGATTGGGGCCGTCTGGATGAAAGGAGTCGACTCCCGGGCAGCCGCTCTACTCATCAAATGCACCTGAAAGGGTCAACAAAGAAACAGAGCAAAATTCGATGTATATACAGGAGTGGGTATATTCCATGTATAAGGAGTGGGTATCAATACATTTGATGTATATATACATCCAAGCATCTTTCGCATCTTTGACCACCTCCTTTTCCTCTGCAGTTCTTGCCGGAAGCTCTGCCGGAATGTCCGTCGCAGTCCTTATTGCGGTCAGCACTTCGCGGAACGGCAGTGACTCAATGGACCATGTGACCCAGGAGGAGGTCCGGAGGCTTCGAGTTGGCTCTATAGGCTTAGCCTATGCCTCTCCATGCAGGTGTTGTATTACAGTACATTACAATGGAGATGTGTTTGGATCTTAAGACTCAACAATTAAACGCCTTCTTCGCCTCTTCTGTGTCTGATTGACGCCTCGAGCTGGGTCAACAACCAGTCTTCACCACTCACCGACTCCAACCGCCCACCGGCCATCACCACCCCGTACCCTGTGTTAGACCTATAGAGACTGGCTCCGGGGGCCAGAGATCGCTGGAAAATCAGGGTTCAATGTGTAGGAACCAGTCCTGTTTCGGACGCACTCCTGGTTCGCTGCCCGGAAAGGGGATTTCCTGGAGGATGCTTTAGAGCAAACAGGTTGCGCAAGTGGGGCACAAGCAAATTAGAACCTGTTTGAAGCAACCATTAGTCTAGGTACATGTAGGTACTACCCCTTACAGCATCACGTGTGTTTCTAGGAAATGGGTGGCAAACTCCGCGAAACTCGTTTTGGAAGGTCAAGAAACTCGACTCTGTGAGAGGCTATCCTGGATAGGTTTTCCGAATCCAGTGAGCGTCCAAAAAGGGAACTGTTGACATAATGGGATCAAACAGCAGAAATGATACCCACCCAGAGAGGATCGTCCGATCTTTTGACACTAGAATGACACAGCAGTCTGAAGTGATCATGAATAAACAACCTGCGATCATCTTGGGCCTCTTCTGGGGGTGTTCGGTCACTGCAATCCTGCCTGGAATGTGGAGAACCCATCGTGAGTTGTTCAACTAGGATGATGCAAAATCTCCAGCGGGCCAAAATCCATCCTCAGAAGTATACTGCGAACTCCTCGTGAGGTTTGAATATATGAGATAATTGATGAAGTCGAGTCCAGTCAACATGACGGCCATGACTGCCACCCTCTGGGACATCTCTTCGAGCTTCCGCTCCTTCGACCCCGCATTCGCAGGCTGCGCAGGCTGCGGAGGCTGCACTGGCTGCGCTGTGGTGGTGGGGGCTGTGCCAGCCTGACGGATGGAGGTCGACTGGAGACTGGATGAGGGGGAGTTTGACCTGACCGGTAAATGAGGCGATGATAGTGGTCTTGAGGGGCCTGACTCAAAGGGTTCTTTTGCTGTTATGTCCTTTTTGTGGGGACGGGAGTGATCAGGTATGAGGTATGAGAGTAGGGAGACACCCCTGCAACCCTGTAAAACTAGACAAATATCTTGGACCAGGAGGGCTCACTGCTTTGAGAAAGAACTGCTCTACCAAAGGCAAGCATCAAGTGGAAAACTACCTTAACATGGCTTAACACAACACCATACAGTTCTGGTAGAGCTTCTTGGAGTGTAGTCCAAATCGGATGATGTCTCTTCTGTTCTTGACCAAGGTCGTTCAGTACACTGAGCCCGGAGCTGTCTCTCAGCTGTTGCTTTGCTGGATTCGTTCGACTCCAGTTTCCTCGAGTTCATAGGAGCCACTTGTTCAAATGAATACTGAATACCAACAAACCTGACGGTCTTCTGGCAGCATTTGGGACACTCCTTCAAGTCTTGGGCAGGATTTTGGCTTCTCAAGCACTTGGACGCAGTTGGAAGCACCCTCAAGAATCCTCAAAATCAATGGCCACATGCCAAATATCCTCAGAATCCAATACATTCAAATTCAGACCTGGGTCCTTGGAACTGCCGGTTTTCACTACGGATTGGCTGCGCCTGTCTTCACCGGTAGATCAAGCTGATCGAAGTCTTCAGATTCTCTGCGGGCTTCGCGTCGAAACGCGAACTGACTCAATACGGTCTTCAGACGCCCAGGACGGTCTTCAGACGGTAAAGAACATTTGATGGTCCTTCCGATTCAGATGGCCATTTGTGGGCGAACGTGGTGCACAAAAACGGCGATGACAACGCTGCACTCTGGGCCCCTGGGCCATCATTTTGCTGTCATAAACCCCGATTTGGCCAGCGTGTGGGAGACTCTGAGACGGTCATACGCTGCGGTCTTTCCTTTTGATGGCCAGGAGCCGAAAAAAAGCATCGAAGCTTCTATAGACAAACAGCATTGCTGGGACAGCCGGACGGCACTGTCAGTTGAACCAACGATACTGACATGACAAATCAAGTGTGGCAATAATCCTGAAGCTCTGCTGAAGCCCGCAACCCAAAGGAGAAACAGAACTTCATTCATCTAAGGCGCTCCTCAGTTTGAAGACTGGATCTCGGCAACTCCTGTCTTCCCCTCAAGCTGGCAGCTAGTAGTTATATTTGGGGATATGGGCTGGGTCAAAACCGGGTCCAGTCTGTAGCTTGACCTTCCAGTTGTCCTGGTTTTTACCCACTGCCATTTCTTCAGTTTCCAAGCTCTGCCCGCCTCGCGCAAGGATTCCAGTTGCCGGCCCAAAGGCCTTAGAGCCTCCAGGGATGCCAAGAACTGAGAGGCCTCCGCAGCCCGCGTGGCCTGGCTGCAGCCCGCGTGGGAGTTCTTCATCCAGTGTCGGGAGGTCAATGCAAACAGTGCGAAATTGAAATAAAGGGTTCTGGTGTCCAGCAGGTGTTGGAACAAAAGTGCGGTCGGAAGAGCAGCAAAGCGTGAACAGAGGTGGTGTTTTTCTGGTGGTTCTGTGGCGTGGTGAGTTCTTTTTTTCAGCAAAAGGAAGAGCAGCAAAAGCAACAGCTGGCATACTGGGGCATCTTGCTTCCGCCCAAAAAGCACATGACGCATGCTCTGTAACCAGGGCATCAACCAGCTCTTGTCCTCTTTGCCTATCGCCAATGTGTGCATCCCTCCCCAAAGGTGAAAAACTGAAAGCCGCATAGATCGGCATAGAGTCATACAGGGGCCTTCGTTCAGCATCCCAAGCCAACTCATCCATGTTGATACACCAGAGTCCAGTTGGGGTCATATATGTCTGTAACTATTCCATACATGGGAGGTCTGGGCAATCACGCGTTCAATTGATTTGTTAAGTTACATGTTTGATGCAAGCTGTTCAGCAATCATCGTGAGGTGGTGGGAGCACAATAGCCAAAGGTCATTGGCCAATTGGCAAAGAACCCCCAAAATTTGAGATGCGACGATGGGATTGTCCAAGGAGGCTCAGGTTTGCTTTTGGTCCATCCATGTCCAAATTCAATTGGCATCCCCAATCTCCCAAAGACCTATGATTATATACGTGTGTCAACTGCTCAGCGGTGCACTCCCCGGGAGCTGTGGCAAACTTGAAAACAGTTAACCTAAATGCTTCTAGTTGAGCGAGCTCCTTCGAAGACATCGTGCAATGGGCTCAAAGCCACAACTGCCACGAAAGGTGACTGGTACAGTACCATCCTGTAGGTTGATTTCTTCACCTCCCGGCAGAAGGGCAGACCAAGAAATCGAGTTCAAGTTCAAAGAGAACAGGTTTTGTTTTCTTCACCAAAGGCCTTCGAGCAACGTCGCGATGTCACGGCGGGCTTGGCAAGCTGTTTGGGGCACTATAGCAAGACGTTCAAAGCCGAACGCAAGGCACGTCACTTCTCTCACTGATGCATCTGTCTACCTCCAAACACGACCATGGCACCCTCTTCCGTGCTGGCACCCTCTTCCAGAATGCGCAGTCCTCTTTCCCTATAGTGGTGACCAACTGGGATCGCACTGGGGATCCTCCTCCAACGCCCAAAGCGTCGGACCCGAATCCCAGGCGCCGGGCGCCGGACCCGAACGGGGTCGGAAAGGAGCTGCGGTCGGACCCCCGAGGCCCAAGAGGATCGGTCTGCCCTTCCTTTTTCCAAGCCCTGCTAGGTTTGGAGGATCGGGCTGCGTACAGGAAAGAAACGGGGTTTTTCAAGCTCCCCGGAGGTTGGTGTTCATCAAATGATTTTCAGGTGTGTGGTGGGCAACGTCTCCTTGCTCTCCAAGGTTTCCGAATGAAACCACAAACAAGCTATTTTGGTGGCAACCAGTCCATGTGAGAAACCCTGTTATGATCTTCCAGAGCACCAGCTTGCTACCCCCCAAACATGTTACCCGTAAGTAACAAGAATCTAATTTTCTTGCGGCGACCAAGAATCAATGCTTCATCTGTGAAACAATATGGGTGGCACCTAAACAGAGTCAAACATGAGATTTGTGCAGGCATACGTACACATTGACATGCCCCAAAAGCATTGGTCAGGAAGTGGTCGCCTATGTAAGCCATCCAAGCCCTTCAGAACTCTTGGCTCACATCGATCTAAGCCTCATTAAGCCTCTAAGCTCCTGGGATTTCAGCCAAGAGTTTGATGGGATAATACATCACCGAAACCAATCGTTACAAAAAGAATCAAGACCTGATCGTCGAACTTGCAAATTGTAAGAACATTGGGTTTCACAACGATTGGCCTGATTGGTCTGGTTGAACATCAAAATAATCAATCTAGCAAACGCTGTTGAAACTTACTCCAAGGTGGTCACCATGGGGCCTTATTTTTGGGGAAACCATCAAACCCACCAAAAAGTCCAAGCCCAACAAAGCACCCAAACCATCCCAGTGCACACGCTGCCCAAAGCCGGCCTCCTTGGCTGCCGCCTTCGCCAGCTCCCGCCGTCTGACGGGGCTGCCCGCCCGATTCCGGGGACCTGGTGCCATACATGACGGATCATAACGTATAATGTTGTGTAACACATTGTAAAACACATATCACACATAATATTTATATAGAATTGTATAGTCTATATTACTTTACTGTAAATTGTTGTTATGATTATATATGTTGTTAGTCTGTTCTGTGTCTGTGAGACGTGGAAGATAGAGTAAGACACGATGTACAAACAGGCACAAACTGCATGTATCGTCAACAGAGGGTACATTGATGTCAACAAGATCAGCTCAATGCTGGCATATGCTGGCTACATGTATACACGTTCTTTTTCATCATCACCCCTAAGCGGTCTGAACATATGTCACCCCTAAGCGGTCTGAACATGCAGTTGGAAATTAGGGATTGGCTAGGGCATGCTTGGGCATCATTGTTCACAACCTTTGTGTCCAAGGCCAAACTCAAAATGCCATGGTCACAACCTACGGTAAATGTTGATCCAATTTGTAAAGCACAGTACAAATAACACAAATAAAATAACACTGTACTAACTGTGAACGAATATATATATATATATATGTGTGTTGCGGTTGATTTATGTGTTGGTCACAGTACAAATCAAATTGGTCGCAGTTGACTTTCTTCAAGTCGTCAGCTGCCTGGAAGGAACAGTGTTGCAATCAAGACGCCCTACAGAGCCTGCATCAGTCCTGGCCAGAACATGTAAAAGCTTTTACTCTATGCGGAAGAAAGCCACATTGCAATGGATTATAATGCCCTGGATGTTGAAAGTGAGCGGGGAACATTAAGGAAACACCTGCTCCTTAAGGCAAATCAATGGACACCTCAAGCTTTCTGGGTTTTCCTTGGTTGTCCCCGCAAGAAATATATTATATATATATATATATATGTGCAGTTGTTTGAACAGATCGCCAAAACACTGGTTATGGTCTCTTCATTGGTTTCATCTGGACATATCTGGACTTTGTTGCCTAGGCACTTGGGGTTTGTCTTGGACCTTTATGTAGACTGCTTATGAATCAAACCCCCGTGTCCAGAATGGTTTTATACATCGTCACATTGGGGTTCTATCCATGAAGAGCCAACATTAGACTTCCAAAGAAAAAAGAAACACATTGCCAGCAGTGCTGGGGTCAGGACTGGGGGTTACATGTATATAAACCGGAGCGTATCAGTGGCTTGTATTCATCTGAATCATCTAAGAATGGAAGCCGCTGTATAAATTATTCTGGGGTAGCCGCGTAGCCCATCGGTGAGTCGGTAAGTCTTGCATAGTAATTATGAGCTTCCCTTGTAAACAATGCCTTTGGGAGGCTTCCCAAACGCCAAAATACACCCATGTCACCACCCAGCTCCGCTCCCGAAATCAACAAGCCTGAAGGCAAAACGACCTTCTTTTGGCTTGGTGCTTCCTGTGGCGCAGAAGAAATCCATGAGGCATCTTGCCAACAATCATCAAAGTGGGACAAGGCTCCTTGGAATAATCATGAGAAGAGCAACAATTATATACAGGTTAATAGGACAGGTTTACTAGGTTAACTCCTACAGGTTAATAGGCCCTGTATTGTTTTTCTGGTTAATTCAAATGCCACTGGGCAGAGCCGCCCCAATGCCCTTCAACTCCTTGATGAAATCCTCCACAGCTTGCTGTGGTGAAAGGAACAGGAGGATTCGGAAGGATGCACCGGAGAAAACGAGACTGTGAAGTCACAACAATAATGAATCAGCGAGACCGTGCTTCCTTCTCCTTGATGAAATATTGGAACGTATACTTCGGGTCTATCCTATTGCCAGGGCCCAGTAAATGATGATGGTTAGTTTGTAGGCTTTGTCCAAAAATTGTACTGATATGCCTGTTTGCCGACTGTTACAGCTTTACTTAGGACAGACCCAACTTATTTCCCAAAGTATACTTATTCAACATTGGCAACTCCAAAAGTGAAAGAAGCTTCGATGACTCTTTCTCAACTAACGAGTCTTCAATGGGATGGATTGGGCTTCTTCAAGGTTCGGCTCAAAAATGATCTGTTTCTTCTTGGGTGAGGAATTGAACGTGATGGAATCGTGGAAGCTCTTGGCAGATGGATGTGCTTCATGTGATGAAAAACTTGTTCTCTCTAATGGATTCGCCGACCGAGTTGGCAATCGCAGGCGTTGAGGCGAATCTCGTTCGATCTCGTTGTCCAATCGACCCAACCCCCGCATCCGTGAAACACTCCGGACTGGAATATGTTACACCAAAGGGTACCCTCCGAACACATCACATGGAAGTGTCGTTCTAACCGGGCCACCTGGAGATCTGGAGAAAAGGGACCCTTCCAGGCGCCTGGAGTTCCTCCACCTCCATGTGATGTATTCGTCAGCGTGTACATCGTATTACATACGACCCGTACATTCAACGGTTTGACCCCATCTATGACCCTTAGCTATAACGTCCTCCAGTGGATGGTCGGTGTCCCACCTCCATCCGATCCTCGTCACTGTCCCCAGGTCGGAAGATCTCGCACAGGTCACCTTCATCGTCACCCGCTTTGCTCCATCCACTCCCTCAAACTGATTGGTCCAGCCTCCTTCAGCTCCGGTTCTGCACCAGTCCACGCCGCCAGCCTCGGACCAAAAGCAGAGGGAGACAGCCAGGACCGGAAGAGCGGAGACGGCCAGGGGCGGTTCGTGGGTGGGCTTCTTCCGTCATGTGAGCGTCGTGCCACCTGAAGAACTATATGTAGGGTTGAGCATTGAGCATTCAAGGCCTATTCGCATCCTAGAATCAGACACCTGGCACAGTCGGCGCTTGATCGCTAACCCTGCAGGTCAAAGACCTCATTCTACATCATTTTACTGGAGTTGATCATGCAAAACACTGCTCAATGAGGTAGGTTTTACTACTGGGTCAGACTGGACCTGTAGGCCCAATCAGAATTTATTGCGGACGTGTTTGACGACCGGGCAGGTGCTGAAGGATACGCTGCGTTGCGTGGGTGATTTGACACTGATTCGATGTGGTTTGAAAACCTTTACCTGCAATAATCTAGGTTGAAATCCAGGTGGAATCACAGGTTGAAGACAGAATGTCACCACCTTGGAGTCAAAGCCCCAAAGCCTTCTCACTGCCCAGAGCAGGTTGACATCCTTTTTGGCAGAAATCTCATGTTCATGGTTCTGCCAGTTTCTTGATCCAGTGCGCTGAAAACGCAAAGCTCAACACCTGTCAATGGAAGTCTCTCCCTCCAAAGCTCTCCAAAAATGGATGGAGAATGGTTCCTTCCCTTGGTTCCTTCCTCAATGGTTCCTTCCCTGGGTTCGACTCTAAAGTCCACTGCCAGTCCACTGCCGTGTTCGCACCTGGTGGCCTTCTGCAGCAGCTTGCCTGCATGCTCCTCAGTCGTCCGGTCGATCGGTCAGACCCCACACCGTCGACCACGTCAGGCGCGGAACTTCGCAAGTGAGGAAGGAACATTCCTAACCTCCTAACCGGTGAACATCCTAAAGCATGGAGAATCATGTCCCAATCTTGGGCAAACCCATGATGCATTGATATGATGTTTTTTCCCGAGGGCACTGGGTGAACGTGGCGAATCGTCATGGCACTGGAGTTCATGTTTGGTGGCAAAACCTGTAACTGCTTACGTCGCTGGGGAATTGGACCACTGAGCGACTTAAGTCACCAGTCGACAGTGTCCCCACCGATGAAATGAGTAGAGAGATCAGATCACATATTAAAACAACAAGACACAGCTTGCCCGTGGGAACATTGCTCACATGAGTGTCTTTTGAATGTCTTTTTGGGCAGAAGTATGTTCCCTCAGTGGTTCACTGCCGTGGCTGGCAAGGCCATTCTCCAGCAGCTCATTGCAGAAAGGGATGCACCCGTCCGTCGTACGTGAAACCCTCCAACTCAATCGCTGGGTCACTCCAGGACCATTCTGAGTCCCTGCCGTCGCCCACTTCGTGACGTCCGAAGTCGCCGATGGCGCCACCCAGTTGGATCGGTTGACACGTCCGGCCAATGGCAGGGAGAACCATGGGAGACCTGCCGTTCCAACCCCCCAGTGGGTCCCGGTGGTCGGAAGGGAATAGAAGAAGGAATCGACCAGTCTACCCAGCATGGAAGGACGAACGTCCCGGAGGTCAAACACACAAAAGGTGCCTCCACATCTCTGGGCACTTTGGTACAGTACTGGTTGCATGTTTGGATCTTGCATTGTTGCGACACTGTGAGTTTCTCACACAAATAACTGTCCATGCACCACGTCTGACCCATGGACTCCTGCTGCTCTGACTTGGTTTGCTTGCTGGTCCATAATGGTTACATGCAGTTATCCTGGCCGTCTTAGCTAACTTGGTTTGTTCCTCTTCATTCTCCAGCACCCATTCCCACATCATCCACACATTTGGAATAGTGACAAATCCATTCGGGTCATTCATAAATGGATATGGATTGTGCTTTCAATTGTTTTTATCTGGTTGGTGGTTTCAACTCACTTGAACGATATGAGTCGGTGAGCTTAATCATCCCAAGTGAAAGGTTGAACGTAACAATATCTGAAACCACCACCAAATCAGCTATGGATGTCCCTCGTTCTATCTCCCTATTTCATTGCTCCCATTGGCACCGTCTGCGCTCTCCTGCGTCACCGTCTGCGGCAGACCAAGCGCGCGCCCAGCGCCGCCTCCGCCATCTGCAGCCGCAAGCGGCGTTGCCGCTCAGCGACCTCCGCGGCGGAGAGCCAGTCCTGGCGAAAGGGGACCCCATGGGCAGTCAGAGGCTGTGACGAATGTGGAAGCTTTTGGGGTTCAGGAAGTCCAAGCATCCGAAGAATGTGACCCATCATGGTGGTGTCTTGTCGGACACATGGAGACCTGATCTGGTCTTCGATCGGACTTTGGGAGAGCTGAGTTTGCATGAGTTTGCCACATAGTGCCATGTAGTGCCGCTTGTTTTGCAGGTCTATGAGAAATCCAGTTCCCTGGAACTCTTCCATGTCAAAGGTGACACACGATCCTCAGTTCGTCAGATCCCTGAGGTCACATGATCCTCAGATCCCTACAACTTCAGACCCTGAAAGGTCAGAAGCCACGTGGTGAGCAGGTCTTGGTCATGGGCTTTGCACTCGTTTTGCTCCTGATTGTTGCATTAATCCTACTGCCAAGGTTTATAACATGGAGATGAACATGAGGAACTCTGTGTCAGAATATAGGATGGTCGCAAGGAGAGGTAAAATATGGTAGAATTGCAACATGAATCAAATATCATTGTAGATCATTGGAGTATCCACATTAAGAATCTTTACATAAGTAGATCTATATGATGCATCTACCAGCACCCCCTGTTTGGGGTCTATGAATCGCCCAATACCTTAGCAGTCATTCCGGGTGTCCATGGGTTCTACTATATGTTTTGGATCCATACTACACTCCTTGGAATCATCATGGAAGAGGAAGTCCCCACTCTTAATTCGGATTTCATGGTCTTCCGAACTCATGGCTATGCCATCCACGGGCCCCATGATGATTCCAGGGACTGTAGCATTGCGCCCGTGATCTCCGAGTGGATCTGCCAATGGGTCGGACCCCTCGGGCGGTCCGCTGGCGACCCACCAGTTCAGCGACACCAAAAAAGCAAAGTCGACGAAGAGGTGAGATCTGTGTCCAACGCATCAACAATAACTCGATGTTACACCAACAGAAAAGCTGTCAGGACTCTTTGGAGCGGCAATTTAGCAACTGAAAAAATGTATCATGAAAAGTGAATCGTCCTGAATCCCAAAGACTCCATGAGACTGCCATATTTGCTGATCAGTTGGAGTGGTTGGGGGAGCCAATGTAGGCATGTGCTGAGGCATATGTAAATATGGCATACATGGAGTGTCTGGGAATAGACCATCCTTGTCATGGCCCCCGGCTTTGCGGCTTTGCGCAAGGTTCACGCCAGTCGGACTTCGAACGGCCCAAAGGGCCTTCACCTCAACTCAAAACCCAGAAACTCCAGTTCTGGACCATCCGGTCTGGGTGTCGTCTGGAGATCCATAATTGAGATATAGTCCAGCCAGGGCACCCCGACAGGATGCTCCTAGTGGAAGACATTCAACACATCTCCCTGGTCATCTCCTACCTAGAGAACCAAACACGATGTTTTTAGTCAAGTGGAGCCCAAACACGATGTTTTCCATCAGACACGACCAATTCGTAGGTTTTGGGTTCCATTGGTAATATGTCCGTCCAACCCCCACCACGACGGCTGCAGACGACTCCTCCGGTGTTTCTTCCGTCCCGACCTCGGCAGGGATCGACGCTGTGACAGGAGAGGAGAGGGGAGAAGTCTGGGTCAGTGGTTTCAGATGGTTTCAGATGGTTTCAAATGGTTTCAGATGGTTTCAGATGGTTTCAGTGGAGGGATGGAAGGCTTTGGCGGGCTTTTGGGGGATCAAAGAAAGATCTGTGACCGATGACACTCGATGACGTCCTTCAAATACCGAGGCCCTGGTGGCCTCCGTTTGGTGTTTTGGTGTCACCTGTCAAAGTCGGGGAAAGAAGTGTTGGGGCCAATCAGCAACCAGTTACAGGGGATACACCCGCACGATTGGTGTGATTCGACAACAGAGCCATATTGCTTGGAACCCAGGCCCTTGAATCCAAAAGAATCTGTTTTGCAAGACTTGAAGGTTTCCAAACCATGTGACCTGAACAAGAACCATGTGTTTGTACTTCACTTTCTGGGGCTTTGGGGTTCACGCGGGAGAAAACCACCACCCAAACCTTTCATCCAATATCCCTCCGAGCGGCGCCGAGGACCGTGCGCCCGAAGTGGTCGGGCCACTGAAGCTCCGAAGCAAAGACCTGTGTTGGCGAAGGTGAGTGAGTCTTGGTCATGTGACCCCTCACAATCTCCCATGTAGACCCCAAATGAATCAAAATGATGAATCCAATCAAGTTCAAGAGTCAGCATAATGGAGAGGAATAGGCCAACCAATCGCTCTAAGAGTTATGCCTGCCACGTGCCCTGCGTGCCCGCCGGAAGAACCTCCACATCTTCGACTCTTCAGTCATCAATTTCTGGGGCCCCCTCTGAGGAAAGTCTTATTAAAGCCCTTTTGGGGGGCATCCATGGGCTTCAGCTCCACCCGGAGGCCCAAACTAGCCGGGCCACTGGGAATCGCAGCAAGACTTGGCAAAGCTCCACGTGGCCTACGTGACCGTGTCACACTGGACTTGAAAAGGCCAATGGGAGCGCCATCAGCGTCTTGCTAACGAGAACATGTGATTCAACAAGCACGGTTCTCGCTCAAACTGCTCGGTCTAGCGCCTTCACAAACGTCGGCCCCAGTCACTTGGTCAACAGAATCCAAAAACTGCAGCGACGTGATGACAGCTTCTGAGGGAAACCCCTATCGCTCTTGCAGGTGTTAGCCAGATCCCTGACATTCACAACCGCTCTTAACTAAATGAGTCATCGCAGGTTTGGGCGGTTGCAGCGAAAAAGATATTCCATGGTTGAATAAACAAAAAATAAATCATAAAGATTTGGCAACTCCCTCTGCCCGTCTGCAACGAAACTGAACTGAATGACATCGTACAAAAATAGATTTAATACTGCGTATGTATGTGTGTAGTTCCTGCCCTTGTGTTCGAGGGGAATATTCACTGCTGAAACACTCCATGGGACTGCCATATTTGCCCACATTGGGGGTGGGTTTGGGGAGTGAATGTAGGCATACATGGCATACATGGCCCCAAGAGATGCATCTGGGCCGGATACCGTACATCTATTCGCGACTATACCCTTCGACTCACTAACAGTCACTAACATGGAAGTGGAGTTCACCCCCTGTTCGTAAAGGAAAGTAGTCTTCCAAGGGACCATGCCATCCAGTTCGTGATGTGTTCGTCAGAGTGTACATGAATGGTTTGGGATCAATCTTCATCAAAACGCTCCGTTTGAAGACCCCAAGAGCCACCCCTCTCCACCCCGTCTCCCCTCGGTGCTTTTGTCCGGTGCGGATAGGGTCAGGGACATCGGTCAAGGATAAAGCTTTCGGCGTCCAGAGCCCATTGGGCCACAAGCGCCGGGACCCAAGATCTTTTGGAGGGTGCGTTCTGCTTTGCCCCAGATGGAATCAATCATGTAGGCGAAGGAGCACCTCGGTCAGAGGTGCTGTTTTCCATTGTGAGCTGTGGGTTATTGTCTTGGGAAAGCAAAAAAAGTACGAAAGGTACGCTATTTAGGGCAAAAGTTTGGCGTTGCTGACCATCCGCACATCTGACTATTCCACTTGTCCCGGGCGGATGAGTGTAAAAACCATTGGATTGAAGCGGGAAAGGGTGGTAGTTCATCTTCCCGCCTGTGTGAGAAACCAACTGTTGTCCAGTCCCATGTTTGGAAATCTCCAAGATCGGCCGCTTTCTCACAAAAAAAAGCATGTTGGGCCTATCCATGTCATTCAGGGCCCAGTGGATGATGATGGTTCAGTTGCAGGATTTGTTCAAAAAAAGTGATTTGCTTGTGAACTGACTGTTACGGTTAATACGACAACCCAATATAATAAATATATATATATATGTATATATATATATATGGATGTTCCTTTACATGAAAACAATTGAACACAGGTGTGTTTCTTTCAGCAGCCCCGGCGCGGATCAATCTCCGGTTCTTGTGATCTTTGTACTGCCAAAAAGATTTAAAACAAGTAACCCACGGGGCTTCGCTCCTTCACGAACTCGCAATCGACAAATGTCCAAATGTGTTAGGTCTTGTGGCCCTTTGAAGCAACAAACAGGACAAATTTGACAAATTCAATTGGGTTCTTGGCCAACTCTGCTGAAACACTGCTGAGAGTCAACCCTCTGTTCTCTCCTGGACACCATGATCTTCCGCCAACGACACCACCAAAAACACGTGATGGTACGTCTCACCATCTTACGCACAAAAAAGACCTGGCCATGGCACAAATCAATCTTTTTGTCTGCAGCTGCCCTGACAACTGAACCTCCTCCGTTCTTTTTTTCAAAGCTCTTCCTGATCTTCAGCGGGTCCTGGAGGAGCATTGTGGGAGGGTTGGAGGCCATGGCTAATTACTAGGTTGGAGGCCGTCGCTTGTCGGTTGGAGGCCTTCGTTATTGGATGATGCTCTTCCGCATCTTCAGCGGGTCCTGGAGGAACGTGTGTTTTCGCAGTTGAAAAGACACCAAACGGAACCTGAAGTTTCTGCACATCATCCCAATCCATCCCACCGTCCCACCAACAAACCTCACGCGGATTTTGCGGAACCTCAAGGCCGTCAGATATCTTGCTCGAACCACACAAATGTCTCCTCCATACCATAGAAGAGGCTTTCAACCACATAATAGGCCGACATGTAATCTTCTTCATCGAAGGGACCTGAGGCTGGACGATGGTCCAAAGAAGAGGAGAGCAACCTCCCAAAGTGGCGATTCCATACTGTCGTTCCACAACGTGCAAGTACTAGGTGATGAAGATGATAACGTGGGCAAAAAGAGCCGATGGAAAACATCGTGAGAGCTCTCTAGCCCGCTTTACAAGATATGGTTTAGTAATGTTTAAATAATATAATATATATATATATACGATATATATGCCTACATTGACCCTTGAAACCATCAATCCAAACATAGATTCTATTTTCACGATCATTATGGAGTGTCTGGGATGATTGAAGATCCACCTCACGGCTGGCTCTTGAAGCCTCCGCTTCTCCCAACCGGCCGACTGAACTTCCGGTCAGACCAGGCAGCGTATGGAGTGGCCAATCTGGCGGGAGAGGCCAAAGTCGGCCAAGACCACTCCTTCCTGGGCCACGGTCACTTTTTTAGGGCATCCATCGCATCATATCGCATCCATTGTATGGAAGAGTTACATGAAAATGACCCCATGTATCGGTCAAAACTCCTAATCTGGAGATAGTTGCATCCACTGTGATTGGGGTGAGCTTTATTGGCAGGGATTGTTTTTTCGTAAATCCATGGTCCAAAGATGTTCAAAGACCCAGGTCTGATGTGTTCGCCAGCTTGAAGTGTATTCCACTCCTGAAGATCCATCTCCAGCGCGTCGGATGCCAAGAGTCTGGACAGCCGTCCTGACCGATGCGCTCATAGAAGATGTTCCCAGCTTTCACGTCGTTGTGAATCCAACCTCGAGTAGCGCCGAGTAGCATCTCGCCTCACCTCATGACCCATGACCGACGTCTGGGACTGCCATCTCTGCCGATCCTGACAACCAGGGGTCGTTTTGGGGAAGTCAAAAACCATGATATTATGGGTTTGTCCTTTTTTAAGGTCTCCAAGTATACCTCCGAAGCATACCCCATAGTCAAACTACGCGGCTTGAGGAACGTCAACAAAATACATTGCCGTATGGCATCATATGGGCGAGATGGGTTTGTTGGGCGATACAACCAACTTGAGCCGGGAAAACTCCTTTCTGCTTGAGATGCCGCCCCTCTTGGTCGGCCGAAGATGGCATCTCTATAGATTCGCATCTGTCGGATTTAGGTGGAGATCCTATGGACGTCAATCTCTTGGGCGGATCCCGAGCATGAGGCGCACTGCACCGGTTGCTGCGTGTGTCGAGCCTCTGTCCCACATGCATTGCAAGCCCGCCACCACCTGGTTGTAGACTTTCCGGTAGCACCGCCTGGGATGATCCGTTAAAGTGACGCGCGCGGGCGTGTCCAAGCCCCTGAACAATCAAGTGCGCAAACTCACCCAACGAGAGGATGTCTCTGATTTCCCTCGTTGACCATCTGTTTCGATAAAGATTGGGCCGCGACTTAATTTTGGATATTTTTGTGTTTTTTGTTGCATGTTTGTTGTTTTTCGTGTTTCGTGTCAGGTGCAGTACTTTGTGGACCTTGCAATGCACATTTCGTGGCAGGTGTAGTACTTTGTGACCCTTGGAGTGCAGATTTCGTGGCAGGCGCAGGACTTTGTGGACCTTGAAGTGCAGATTTCGCGGCAGGCGCAGGACTTTGTGGATGTGGAAGTGCAGAGTTGGTGGCAGGTGCAGGACGTTCTGGACCTTGAAGTGCAGATTTCGTGGCAGGCGCAGGACTTTTTGTGGACCTTGAAGTGCAGATTTCGTGGCAGGTGTAGTACTTTGTGGGCCTTGGAGTGCAGATTTCGTGGCAGGTGCAGGACTTTGTGGATGTGGAAGTGTAGAGTTGGTGGCAGGTGCAGGACTTTGTGGGCCTTGGAGTGCAGATTTCGTGGCAGGCGCAGGATTTTTTGTGGACCTTGAAGTGCAGATTTCGTGGCAGGTGTAGTACTTTGTGGATGTTGAGCTGCAGATAGACAGATAGAAAGATAGAAAGATAAATGGTTCGATGGATACATAGATAGATAGATAGATAGATAAAGAAAGAAAGATAGAAAGATTGATAGACAGACAGATAGATAGATAGAGGAGGCATATTTGCTTGGTTGGAAATTTTTGCACCGGGGGGGTTCACCTTAAAATATTGATTTCGTGGCAGGCGCGGGTGTCGGGGATGAAGTGCAGATTTCGTGGCGCGGGGGTGGTTGGGGGGGGCGCAGCGCCCCCCCAGCAGCACACCAGATCCAAAGGTGCTTGCTTGCTCGCTTGCTCGCTCGCTGGCTCGCTGGCTCGCTGGCTCGCTGGCTCGCTGGCTGGCTTGCTGGCTTGCTGGCTGGCTTGCTGGCTGGCTTGCTGGCTGGCTGGCTTGCTGGCTTGCTGGCTTGCTGGCTTGCTGGCTTGCTGGCTGGCTGGCTGGCTGGCTAGCTTGCTTGCTTGCTTGCTTGCTTACTTGCTTGCTTGTTTGGTTTCGTCTCTGCAACGCAAACAACAGGAAAAGCAAAGGCAAAAAGAGAAAGGAGAACAGCTGCCAAAAAGAAAGAAAGATAGATCGATAGATAGATATATATAGACAAATAGATATAGACAGATAGATGGATAGGCCAAAAAGCCAAAAGCCACAAAAGCCACAGAAGCCACGAAAGCCAAAAGCCACAGAAGCCACAGAAGCCACGAAAGACAAAAGCCACGAAAGCCAGAAGCCACAGAAGCCACGAAAAGAGAAAAACAATAAATCCAAAATTAAATGGCCCTCCTTAAAGATTCTGGATGTACGATGGAACATGCCACGTGATGACACTCACGGTCCTGGTATGTTGGGGAGACTCCTGAAGATGAGAAACCAATTCAGGTGAGGTGGGGGGGGAAGGCCTGCAACTCTTTTGGTTTGCAAATCGCTTGGATTCTTGACCCAACACAGGTCCAAAGGAACCATTGTCCCTTATGAATCCGAATCCTACAGGTGTTCATGTGTGCCACACTTTGCGGTCAAATAACACCTTTAAGATCCTTTAAGTATTATACAAATGATGTGGACATGCTGCACCTACCGTGGACGCCGGCTAACATATCAAAACAAACCTTCGCTTGATTCTTTCTGAAGAATAAAGCAGCCAAATGTCTACGGTCTACAGTCATGTCATGTCATGTCTACTCGGTGAGCGGGGGGTGTTGGAATGATAAAGGTGAGCAATACAATCATTAATCGCCTAAGTGTAGCCAGTTCTGGTAAGGGCGACCGCATCGTTAATTATGGCAAACATGTACCCGGTTTTCGGGTTCAGGTTCACATGAAACCTGCCGAATGGAGTCCTAAACCATCTCCGATGCTGTCTGTAGAAAACGGCGCTGATCGTCTCGGATCTGTTCAGTGGCCACCCTGAGGATTTTGCTCAGGCAGTGTAACTCGAATGCATTACTTCTTCAACAAAGCATCTGTCCGGCATGAACAATATATAGATGGCCACTTCCTGTTTGCAAGTGATCCTGTCCAAAGGGGAACCACTTTAAGTAAAGTCCTTCGAATCTCTTGCGCATCATTTTGGGAGCGGATTGTCTTGGAAGTGTGTCTGACCGCTGCGCATGTGGATTACGAGACATGTGTCCTTGAATACTCATCTCAGTTGCAAACGATATGGAGATGACATGATTTTTAAAAAATGATATAATCGTGGCTGTAGTTTGGCGTTCTTTTAGAGCGCGGTTGCCTGCGGACTAAGACGATGGTATGATCAACATGGTCTAGACCAATTTGAGATGAAATTGGAATGACATCGGTCTCAACGTAAAATGACATGGTCCAGAAACGATGTCCAATCGATTTTATGATTCAGTCTGCCCGCATGACATCGAGGAGTGGAAGTGTCCAGTGATTGGACACCTTGGATGGCACAACTCCAGGGTGAGGGTGATGTGGAACATCAAACAACTTCTTTGAAAAAGCCACTACCTGGAAACATCTCAAACCCAAGCCAACCATGCTGGGTATTCCATACCCTGCGACCCTTCCTTGGACGCGCCCCCCCGAAAAGAAACAAAGAGAAACTGCTCGAATCTAAAAATGGTCAATGTAGCTTTTCAGAATGGAGGCACTTGGCGCTGATGCCAAGGTGCCAAGGCATACGAAGTTTCACTTCATGACGCCGAAATCAACCGATCCTTCATATGCACCAATCCCTTCTAGACCCGGTGATCGAGACGACCCAGCTGACCTGAGAAAACTGACTTGGACTTATGGACCTGCTGAAAGCGGACCTGCAGCTTCAGTGGTTTGGAGGTTCCATGTGGGTCTTTTCCAGGGAAGTCGACTAAGAGACAAACATGGTCCTTTACCATTCGATGAGAGTAAGATATTCACTTCATTACCTTCATATGACCCCAAATGACCCTTCATGACCCTTCGTATCCAAAAACTCCGTGAGGGCGTGATTCGCAAGGAATCCGTTGTTGGCCTGCAACGGGTTCTTGTTTTTTGTGGTCCCCAAAGAGATAGTGGCACGGTTTCAAACTCATTCTTAGTGGGCATCTACCTTTCTATCTATTTGAGGGTCTAGATAGACCATATCACAAATCTATCCACGGTGTTTGAGACACTCTTCCACTTGCCCTAAGATCATGGTGAAGACATTGCATGCAAGAATATGGAGACGGATTGGCATCGTTCAGGAAATACCCAATGCTTTGGTTGTCCTCGTTCGAACACCAAAAAGAGTCCTTGACAAAAAATAAGACGGTGGACTTTGAGTATCATGATCATCCTGCTGGTTGAAGCCCACTTGCTCCAGGCCCAAACATACGTTGGTTGTGTTGCATGTTATATAATTTTATCAAAAAGTTTCTCCTAATCGAGCATTGCCACAAATTGATATCATACCAGAAACTAGTCGGTAGTTCATAGCGGGACTCGGACTCCAGCTTGGAACGAGTGCACCAGTGACTATCTTACTCTCATCGTGATTGGTGATGGTATTATGGTTAACCTATACCATAGAATCCTCGTCATTCCAAGATGTCCAAGGGAATTGGTTCTCAGCCCTCAAAACCTTCCGCGAGTGCAAATTCGACACTCCTGCCGTGTAGAGTCTAGAGAAAACCTCTTGGATGGGTACTTTATGAAAGAATGAATCGCTAGTAATAGTAGACCATCAACTGGGGCAGGAGCAAAGAGACAGAGGGTCAGTCACGGTCAGTCCCTACCTGGCCTACCTTCTGAAGATGGGCTGTATGAACCCTAGGGGAGAAGAAACTAAAGCATATCTGCTACAAAATGCTACAAACCCCACAACCAAAAAAGATTCTGGACAACCCAAATGTTATCACCAAAAAAACGCAAAATCTGGCACTTTCCCTCAACTTCAACAGTTCTCCAAGCTTCGCCTGCCAAATCAAATCCTGCAACTGCCCAACTGCGACTGATCCATCGGATGTACACCCAAAGCCTTCATTCACGTCCATACCAATGCCGAGCGGCGCGCGTGCTCTAGGCTTGAATCTCCTCGCCCACTTGTACAGGTCGCCAGCATACCGCTTGGTCCTTGATGGCGGAAGTGCGTGAATCCGAGGTCCAGTGGTGATACTGGGCCCGGGGGGTTGTTCCCCTAGGGCTCCTGGCCCATATCCTCAGGTTCGGTGGTTCGACGGTACCCACCCCAACCACCGAATCTCAGGAGGTAGAGCCCCAGGGTTCATGATAAACCCCCCCAAATCCATCCAAATCCCAGATTAGAAAGTGGATGACTTCCTTGGGCCCAGACGAATCCAGCGCCCCAGTCAGTGCGAGTTCGTTGTCACATGGCGCTTTCAGAAAGGTGACTCCATCATCCCATCACTAGCGGTTTCAGAGTATGTCGGTGGTTTATACTATATGGATCCATCTAGACATGTATTGGGAGTTCGGAATCCTAACCAGCCACTAGGATTCCTGGCTGTGTTACGAGCGGTCGTTCGCAGGGACAACAGCTGCAAACTCTAGGCAAGGCTTTGGATTCGGAAACAGGTTCGGCTTTGTTTCGCATTTTTTTAATGTAAGGTTTCAAAGGATTATTCCAGCGTCCTGAAGAAAAGTATGTCAAATTATTGCTGTCGGAAAACAACGTTTTGGACGAAACAATTTTTTGGGGTTTGCTACTGTATGTTTTTTTTACCACGAAGTGCAGAAACAATATCTTCAAGCGGCACATGCCTGTTGCGAAACGGTGCAAAAGGGTGCAAAACAGTGCAAATACTGAATGCATGTTGATTGCACATCTTATACCAGGGAAGGGCGATGTGAAACGACATGATTGTTTGGAAACGACACGTTTTCCGCCAAACTACGATAAAACATGTAGTTTCACGAAATGACCCTAAAACACGTGACCTGCAAAATTTGTAAACGTCGCTACCTGTCCTGCGTGGTACGCAGCGGTGAGCCGTTATATGGTTGAATATGCCAACTTCCCATCCACGATTTCATAACAGATCCACTCACAAGGGACTCATTCCAACTATCTGGATACCCTGGAAATCCAAAACTATTTTCAAAATGGTCTTTCAGTCACCCGAAAAAAAAATAGTATCCGTTACTTCGGTGCAATTGTTGATGTCTTTGGACATTGGCCACCGGGTCCGGGTCCGGCCAAAACGACCAAGGATGGAGTGAAACCCGCCGTTGAACTGCCTCCAACCTAGAAGAAATGGTTTCCAACCTGCTAGTGATGGCCTCCACCCTAATAGCACCCCCAACCTAATAGCGATGGCCTCCAACCTACGTACTAGCGATGGCCTCCAACCTACTAGCGGCCCTGGAAACCACAACAACCCCCACCACAACCCTGTCTGGAAAGACCGTGTCTTCCCACCCCAAACTCATCAGATCCACAACCCAGGTGCACAAAGGAGTTTGGCAGCTTCTCATCATCCACGCAGGGAGACTTCTCGACCATAGGCATAACGCCATCGCAAGTACCCACCTCGTCAAGCACGGCGATCCTCAGTGGATTCCATGGCGCTCCATCAAGGGTCGGCACGAATAAACAAGTTCGACGTCGGGTAGTTGTGAACACTTTCCCCCTCCAGAACACTCTCACTCACGCGGACCGTCAGACCCCTTCCAGCGGATTTCTGGAGCTTGTAAAAACACAAATCGAATTATCCCGGCAAGAGACCCCAAACAGTGTGTGTGTGTGAGGTCTATAGACAGTCTAAAAGCAGAAAGTGTAGAGATCTAGACGCATTGGGGTCCAGAGAGGTGATGGTGGTGATGAAGGTGGGGATCGTGGTGACGGTGGCGGTGGTGGTGTGAGTGTGAGTGTGAGTGTGAGTGTGCGAGTGAGCGACTCACTCACTCACTCACTCACCCACACCCACACTTGCTCATCACTCTCACTCTCACTCACTCACTCTCACTCTCACTCTCACTCTCACTCTCACTCTCACTCTCACTCTCACTCTCGCTCTCACTCTCACTCTGACTGAGTGAGTGAGTGAGTGAGTGAGTGAGTGAGTGAGTGAGAGTGAGTGAGTGAGTGAGTGAGTGAATGAGTGAGTGAGTGCGTGCGTGCGTGAGTGAGTGAGTGAGTGGGAGTGAGTGAGAGTGAGTGAGAGTGAGTGAGAGTGAGTGAGAGTGAGTGTGAGTGAGTGTGAGTGAGAGTGAGAGCAGTGAGTGTGAGTGCGAATGCGAGTGTGAGTGAGAGAGTGAATGTGAGTGTGAATGTGAATGTGAGTGTGAGTGAGTGTGAGCGTGAATGTGAGTGTGAGTGAAGAGTGAGAGTGAGTGTGAGCGTGTGTGAGTGAGTGAGAGTGACTTCACCTCTTCAAGTGTCTTCTCGTCTGTCAAGAGAACTGCATGTTTATTTGGTGTTTCTTCTTCACCTGCCTTCCTTTCACCTCCTTTGCTTCAACAGGAAATCTCCAGCAGGGCTGGAATCTCCTTTGGCTCTGGAAGAGGTTGTTCTTCTTTCTCTGGGTCACTTCCTCCTTCCAGTGCCTTGGCCATGACTGCTTCTGCATCCTCATCTCTGAATTTCACCCTTACACGTTCTCGAGAAATATCTGTCTGCGCTGCTGGAAATGCTTCTGCTCTCCTCTTGGTGGCAACAATTCTGCCTCCAAACTTGGTTTGGTACTCCCATGAAAACGCATTGAAGCTTTTGTATATGGGTAAGTATTTGGACCAACCTTGATCTGTTCGTCTGATGCATTTGCTAAGCACTACCTGCACTCCATCTGCGAGTGCAAAGTGTCTTACCTTTCAACCTTTCCTAAGAACAAGCATAAATGCCATCTCGCCTCTCCTTTGTTGAGGCTCTTGATGTAACCATGAACTGATTCACCACCCTCTGCTAGAAGTCCTTTGTAACTTTTTCCATAGACAAGTTCATAGGGAGTTGCTCCTTTGACTGGCGGAAAATTATTCAATACCCAACTGGCGTGTCTTGCTGCCCAAGTCCAAAGTGCATGATCTGATCCAACCTTGATACGAAGTCTTGACTGCACACCTTCAATGAAAGTTCCTGTAAGCTTTCTCACCCTGTCAACTGTGTTCTCTGACAGAAATGAATGATCTCCAAAAATTGGAGTTAACCAATCTGGTAGTGAGTCCTAGACTGTGGCGAGCATTGATCAGCATTTTGAGGATTTGCCTTGTTGTGGGTTCATTGTCACTCTTGTAGGGGATTGCTGGATACCCCAACAATTCACTGAAATTCATCACTTCTTGCACATTTAGACGAAATTGGCCTTTGCTCCCTAATGGCACAACATGAATGAGTCCAGTTTGGCTGTCAATTCTGCAACTAGCCAACATACTGCTCTTGCTGACTGTGTTTCTGAGTCCCTTGCTCTTGTAAAGCAAAAGTCAAAGCTTACCTCAGGGATACTTAATACTTCCTCTCTTCACTCCATCTGTTCTCTCATGGCGATCCGGACATGCTCGATGTTCAATGCACTCCTTACACCAACTGGCACATGGCGCGTGCGTCAATCTGTGCCTTGCTTGAGTTGCTTCATCTGGCATCTTTGCCACACTCTGTCCTAATGCCTCTCTTGTTTCTTGAGCTTTTGCTTCACTCACCAAGCTTGTGGCATTCAACGATTCCATCTTTTTGTTGCGCTTGAGAATCTTGGTGTAGACCTTTCTTTAGCGTAGAGTCACTGCCTGAAATGCCGAGAAATGAACAAGAAGTCCTCAGAGTTGCCAAAGATGAACCCTTAACCAACTCTATTCCATTCACCAAGACGTTGCCTACATCCATTGGGCTCAATTGTGGTTCACACTCAAGGTCATCGTCTTCCTGTTCATCTATTTTTGACCTTCTACCGCCTTCTCCTGTGGAGTAGGGGTAGTCTCTTCTACAGCCTGCTGCAATTCTTTCTTTCTTTGCTCTCTGTTCTCAAGCTTCTTGCATCTGGTGGTGCTGGCTCATAGCTGAAGATTGCGATTGAAGGAATGACTGCATCATCATCAAAGAACTGCTCATCAAGTTCCTCTTCTTCATCATGCTCTCACAATACTCAGGCATTAGCCATCTACCTCCTCTTCTCACCAAAGTAGTTCTCATCAGCTCTGGTGATTCTTCCACTTCTGGAATGACTGTGGGATCCACAAATTTTGAAGTCAATAAGCTTCCCACTAGCAGCCATGTTCATTGACTCTCCGACGTGATTCTTTCTCAGGAGCTGGAGGTAGTTGGACCTCCAAGCAGTTCTCACCTTCGTCTCGAATGACTCTAATGCGACCTTGAACTGTCAAAGAGCGATTTTGTAGGTTGAGTGGTACCTTGAAGTCACCATTCTCCAACATGTGCTCTCTGTTGTTGATTCCCCAACCAAGTTCCATCAACCTTCCATAGCAAAGTGTGGGCTGATTCACCTTGGAGCTGAAGATCACATTCTCTTTGAGAAGAACTTCTCGTCCATCACGCTCAGGCAAGGAAATGTCAACACTTTTCGCACCTCCTCTGGGGATACGGTTTCCTTGGGCATCTTGTAGCTTGGTCTTTGTACTGAATTGTAGCTCTCCTTCCCCATAATCTGCCATACTCAAAGGGAACAATGCTACATCTGCTCCACTGTGCATAAGTTCAATAATGATGGCCATATCCTCATTCTCTTGCCCAAGTCTTCTCACCACGGGTTCATCATCTGAGATGTCAATTTTTTCAACTTCCTGGAATTGTGGCTCATCACCATGATCTCCAATCTACAAGTGAATTACCCAAACTCCTTGATCTTCTAGCTCATCATCTCCCTGTCTCAAGTCAAAGATGATTGGCTCACTGCTCACAATTCTCCTAACCACTGGCTTGGTCTCTGCTGAGCTCCCTTGTTGGCTCACACTAGCATGTTGCTGACCAACTGTATGAGTTGTCACTGACGCTCCTCCTGAAGACAGTCTTTAGCACTTCCACAAGTGTAGCACGCTGCCACACCTTTGCCTTTCTGGTCTTTGCCTTTGCCTTTACCCTTACCCTCGTGATCACCTTCTTTTCCTTTCTGATCTCCTTTTCCTTTCTTTCCTTTGCCCCTGGCATCTTTACCTTTTCCTTTCTGATGGTCATTCTTGCCCTTCTTACCTTTTCCTTTGGCATCTTGGACTCGATCAACGTCCATTGGTATAGATCCTTGATATTCTGTACTGCTACTAGCCACCATGGAAGTAGCCCGCTTCTGTTGAGATCTATCCCATTGCAACACAGCCCCCCTCAAAGTTGAGTATTGAACACTGTCACCAATTTAGGGCTTGAGTTGTCCACCTACGCATCTCAAGAGAATAGCAGCAGATTCCAACTCTTCCGGAATTGTAGTCCCTCCCCTGACAGTCTCATCAAATACCTCTTCAAGCTTCAAGAGTTGAGGTTGTAGTGCACTATTCATTGAAAATGCTGGCCATGTAGTGGCTGCTCCCAAGAGTGCCAAGCCTCTTGCCTTTGAAGTTGGTTTCAAATATTTACTCAAACTCCTCCAGGCATCAAACCCAGTAGAGATTTCCACAGCTTTCACCAATTGCAGTGCCCTTCCTCTCATCAATGACGCTAACAAGCCATAGAGCTTGATGCACCTAGTCTTCTCTGCATCATCCGCCAACTCCATGTCAAATTGTCACTTGGCTTTTCATGGAGGACCCACGTAGCCCTGCTGATGTTGTTGCCAGCGTACGCGCTATAGTCTGAAGGATTTCTCTGATCTCCTCCATCTTCTCCTTGTACTAATGTCTCTTTGACACCATGTACTGGGTACAAAGTGTTGCTAACAACAATTATTCACCAGAAGGCCCCAAATCTATGGACAATCGCACCCGGGATCCCAGTGACCTAGGGGTTTTTCAATCAGAGCTCCAGAGGAGTTCCCTCCTTCTCAAAGCTCCGCTACCATGCGCACCTTTTCTTGATACTCAAAAGGGCTGAGGTCAGGTCCACTGTACATGCTGTCATGTCATTGATGCTATGCATCTAAGTTATGATCTACATTGAGCATGGTTCGCATATATACATTACATACTAGATAAAAGATCTAATATGTTAAGGGGATATCGATGCCAGCCCCTTGGAAGCTTAAATGTCATTCATTCTTGTTCAGTTAACTTTCATTTTAGAGATGTATGTGTGTGTGGTGCGTGCCATGGGCATATATGTAGTTGAGTCACTAGTCTCAAGTCGAGGCTGCAAACAAACATTGAGGTTGACATCGCATCTTCAAGTCTTCGGTCCAAGTTGCACCAGACTATGTGTTTAGAAGGGTTCCGACCTGTCCGTTCTCAATTGGATGCTTGGATGTCATCATAGCACATTGTATACCAGTACCTTCGAAATGACCTCTCTGGAGTGTCTAAGTGACCTCATTCTGTGATCTCAGTCTAAAGGCCAATATTGTATATTGCAATACTGCTTGTAATTGCGATATGTTGTATGTATTGTGTGGCACAATTTTGTTTCGTGCAATTTAAATGATCAAGAAATACATATAATCGCAACCTCCTGTCCCTCATGTGCAGAAAAAATGCAGCAACCTCGTGTGAAGCCAGGCTCTGGCTGCCTCTGGAAGTAGGACTCTGGGACGGCGTCACGCGTCGTTTTGCCAAGCATCTCCTTCTGGAGATCTTTGATGCCATCACTTTCAGGAACTTTCACAGCAAAGCCCTGCTGTCTCTGTCTCCTTTTGTACCACTTCCTGGGAAGAACAACCAAGAGAACAAGGAGACGACAGGGACAATGACGCATGAGTAAAAGACACAAAAGAAACAAATAAACAAGGAAAATCAACAGAACAAAGAAAGGACATCACAAAGAACAATGAAGTGGCAAAAATGCAACTGCTGTTGTCATTGATGGTGAAGTCGAAAACGTTTGCTCCAAACAAAACTGGCAAAAGGGTCCAAATCTGATCCATGCCTCCGAACTGGAGATGGACATTGGTCGAACTCCGAACTGGATGGTCAGTTCTCGGAGCGATCCGGGACGTGTTATTGACTTTGATCCACTCCGGCCGACCGGGTCGACCTGGAAAGGATCCGACTTGCGGCACCGACGGACCGCACACGGCTCGACGCGCCAGGCGTCTTCTCGATCTTCTTTTCGACCTCGTAGACCGTGCCATACGTTCCTGCCGAGTTCCGGGATGACCCCAGAAGACGCGACCGAAGCTGCGTACGCGACCCCGAAGACGTGGCAAGAGCGTGGGAACTGTGACCGGAGCACAAGGATGGCGGCATGTCCGGACTTGGGGAAGTTTCCTTGTGGGTTTGTGCCTGGTACATCCTCGAACTTATGAAGCATTCAATGAACAAACATCTTTCACTGGCTCTTGTGTGGTGAAACTAAGGATAACTACTTCCCAACCCCCCACACACTGGGACCTCCAGCCAGATCCATCGTTTCGCAAGTATCAACCGGTCAAACACCCCTGAGATTGAGCGGAGTCAACACGTCTTCGCCACCTTCGCCCAGCACGTTGCCCGTGGTCTCATAACCACCAGTACAGTCCTCCTCCTCGCAAGCTCGAACTCGGGAGTCAGTCGATATCAACTCTGTTCGAACCCTGTTCCCGGGAAGTTTACACCAAAAGACATGCTCCTATTAGCTCCTATTTCACTACGGATTAGAGGGCTCGATCCAAATCGAACATCGTAACATGAACCAAGGCATGCTCATCAACATGCGCTCACCTGCTCGCTCTCACTGAATTGCTTGCTCCTCGGATCGTCACACGGTCCACGGTCTGCATCTCCCACGTCGGTTCGGGGGTTCGAGGAGCTTGCGCGGAGACAGGACATGTGGAGCAACTGGGATTGAATTCCCCTCAGTTTCCATGGAAAACTAACAAGATTCACATGTCTCCACCTATTGGATTTTAGTGGGAGTTCCTCCATCTCCCCACAAAATCAAAAGGTTTCCACTGACAGGGTAGGGGGAAAAGTCAAAGTTAGAAAGTTGGTTTCAAGAAAAGAGCACCGATGTGTGATTTTTCAGTATCTACAGTACTTCTATTCATCGACAAAGTCCTGGAGAATATGCTCCCACGATTTGTATATATCTGTAGCCTTCTGTTTTTGGACCATCCATTCAGTGGTCGGGAAACGCCATGAAGAGGGATCTAGCTTTGTCGACCTCGTGCTTTCCCCGTGTCATTCCCGTCTCCTTCTCCTCCATGTTCTCTTCTAGGAGGCCACTTGCCACGTCCAGGCCTTCAAAGCTCAGTCCAGAATCCTTCACGCGCGGCGTGTGGGGCGACCCGGTGTCACCGGTCTCAACGTCTTGGTCCTGGGCGAAACACATGGCAAGATTGGGGGAATGGGCAAGAGAGTTTGATAGAGTTAGGCTTTCTCTTCCAGAGTTGTTGGGGCTTTGGAATAGTTTGGTGGGTGTGTTTCTATTTCTTCGACTATGTCTTGATCCCTTGTGGTTTGTTTCGGAGCACCACCAAAACTGCCTGAGTCCTTAGACTCTGACCTAATGACTGCAAAAAGATTCAAAGAGCATCTATCTATATATATATATATATAATAGCATTCAGAACATTGCCCCAAACAATTGTTCAAAGAGGTAGTTCACAAACACAATGGAATTGTTCATGAATTTGTGCGGTGCTTTGACTCATGGAAGGCTTTGGGGCCCTTGAGGAATTGGGTTGTTCGATTGTTTAGAGTCATCGATCCCCATTGAAATCACTGCTTGGCTTTCTCTTGGCCTCTCTGGAATCCTTAGACTTCCTTCCCTAGTAAGATCAATAGGAAATCCTTTCGTTTCCCCTTCACTAGATCAACTCCAAAAACACAATCCTGTTCATGTTGCTTTGCGCTCTTAAGCCAATAATCCCAAACCGGACAAGTACAAACACTCTCGAATTGCTTGCTACTGTGGGGGGATACTGATCAAAACCACAAACGAACCCCCTGCAGTTCCACATATATATATATATATTCTCAAAAATACCGTATATTGACCCGTCCAATGAACGCCTGCCCTTCTCCACTGAGGTCCAGCTACCTCCGAATCGGATGCGTTTGGGATTGTAACCTTGCTCCCAAAGAAAGGCCTTCCCTTTGCAGCCAATTACATCCGATGCGAATGGTCCTTGTCTGTCTGGGATTCATCAACCTGAGAGGCATCGTGTTGATTCTCAGCTTGTCCCATGGACCGCACACCCGTCGCGTACTTCACAAAGACGCCCAGGAGACCAACAACACGAAGGAGCTTTGCCATGGCAATAGATTTCTCAAATGAACGAACGGCTGTGCCACAGGGCAAGACTTGAGACTGGAGATGTCACAAGAGCGCTCAGTTGTTTGCAAATGGAGCACGCGGACTGCGCAGCCGACGACAAACAAAGACTGATTGAAGGATCCTGATAAGAATTTAGGGTCCGCTCTTGGGTCTCCCTCCAAACAATGATCAGGTCTAAACGAAAAATTTGGCCATGGCGATAGTTTTTTTCAAACGAAGGGGTTGTGACTTACGCAAGGCCTGCCTTAAGCACGTCATCCCACATAAAACTTTATAGGTCCGCCCTAGGATCCATTGGGGAGCCCTGTTTGAGGGGCCGTCTTCGACGTCCCAGGATGCAACTGAGGGGCCGGTGACGGACGAGGGTCACCACGGTGCACCGTGGTGCACGGTTTCGCCGCAGGGAGTGGCCAGTTCTCCCAACACATCGGAAAACGCTTCAGTGAACATGGCGGAAGTTGTGAACACCTTCGGCCTGGCCGTCTTAAAGGAAGGAGCATTAGCTGATGCAGCCAACATGTTGGGTTGGTTCCGCGTGAACCTTGGTGAAAACAGTGACCGCGTGAAACATTTGTGAAGGCAACATCCGCTATCCAATGCGTGAACATGGAGGCAAATCCAAAAAACTAATCATGGAACATGGTGCAGCCAGGCGCATATTGAGAAGATGCGTGGCTGCACCTTTTGCCGCAAGCTGGCCCAGGAGAGGTATAACAAACAGCCAAATTAATTTCAACAGGCTCTCCGCCCTGACAAGGGACTGGCCCGTTTCAACAAAAGGCACTTTAGTCCAAATGAAATCCTTTACGTTGGTGCTCCCAACCCTGCTCGACCCGCCGTGCCCCTTCGTTGAGTCTTCGTCTTCGGAAAGAAAACCGCCCCGTTCACCCATCCGGCCGGCTCACGCCGGTGCCGCAAGGCGATTTTCACCAAAGCGCGCTTCCGTCGGTCAGGGAAAGAGCTGTGTGCGTCCAGGGCCCATGGGGCCACAGGTGCCAGCCCCCATCAACTTTTGGAGGGCAGGTTCTTTGTAGTTCCAAATGCGATAAATCATGAAGGCGGCAGAGCACCTCGGCAAGGTGGAAACATCACACAAGGCGCAAGAAAAAGTAGTGAATTGTACTTTACCATGCAACCTTGCAAACCCAACGTTAATCCACATGCCCTAGATAGTCCACACATTCTAGGCCCAAATTCAGGCGGAGGAGCTTCCACCCTCAACTCTTGTCATCTTTGTATATGGTGGTTGCAACTATGCGTTCATTGTGGAGTTGCCCGTCAGAGCTGTGGGCCGTCGCCTCATTGTCAGGGCTGTGCAACGGTCATGCAGTTGCAGTTCGTGAGCTAACTTGGGAAAACACAATCCTGTACGCACTGTCAGGGCCGCGCAAGGAAAAGTTGTTAATTAAGTTGTCAGGTTGCTAGTCTGTGACACTGGGGACAGGAATTGGAAAATCCGTTCGCTTGAAAGTGTTTGTCCTGTTGTGTTGACAATGATTATATATTGATTATACATGCATGTGTTGTGGTTGTGTTGCAGTTGTGTTGCTTGGGTCTGTGTGCGTGCGATTGCCGTCCACTCCGGAGACACCTGCCGTTGGTCATACCCAGACACTCCATGGGACTGTGGGACTGGAATATATGCCTACAGACAGACCCCCCAAACCACCCCCGAACAAGGCAAATATGGCAGTCCCCAGACAGGTCGTGTCATCTTCTTCCCTCTCGGGCGCAGGTCGATCTTCGGGATGGCCGTTGGCAGGAGCATAGCGCCGCCGTTTTCTAGCTCAAAGCTCCGGACGATCTTCAGCGGGTCCTCGAGCGGCCCGTGTGGATCTTGGAGGGCAGGGTGGGAGACGGAAGCGGGATCATCCACAGGGAAAAGCGGGTTGGGTTCAAAGGGAACAGACTCCTCCCTAAGAATCCGGGGCCCGAATCAATGCGAAAATATTTTGGCTTGGGTCCGGGCCGCCCCCTGCGAAGTGGTCCTAGATTGCGGTCTGGAATCATCATTGGGAACGGAATAGCGGGCGTCACGCAGTTTGTAAAGTATAATTTAATCATGCATAGTTCCAATCACCTACGGGCCCGAATGGGCACGACAAAGTAAACCTCTTCTTGCGGATGTGTTCACTCGTTCTTCCAACAACTTCGCCCGCGATCTGAAGCAGACTGGGCTCCACCTCTTAAAGAACGGGCCTCACCGCTTTGCAAAACCAGGACCGGCGTTGCTGCGTTGCTGGGTCACGATGGGTCATGTAGGGTCATGTCGCCGTCTCCGCCCATCGGTTAGAGCCGGATTCGGAAGCTAATCGATCGGATTCTGAAACTAGGGTTCTGAAACTGGGGTTCTGAAACTAGGGTTCTGAAACTTGGATTTTGAAACTGGTATTCTGAAACTGGGGTTCTGAAACTAGGATTCTGAAACTGGGGCTCTGAAACTAGGATTCTGAAACTGGGATTCTGAAACTTGTATTCTGATACTGGAAAGTCAGATTCTGCAACTGGTATTCTGAAACCGGTATTCTGCAACTGCGGATCTCCACATCATGCGATAGCGTGTGCCTGTGACTTCATCTTTGAAGCACCTCCAAACCAACGTCATTAGCCCCCCAACACTCCCTTGTCCCCATCGTGTGATCTCGATATCATGCCAACCCCCTCATCATTCACAAAAGTTGCGGAGTCCTAGTGAGGGAACCCACAATTTTGCGGAATCCTAGTTGCGGAACGCCAGTTGCGGAATCCCAGTTGCAGAATCTTAGTTGCGGAATCCTGACAGCTGTGGAATCCTAGTTTCGGAATTCTAGTTGCGGAATCCCAGTTGCGGAATCCTAGTTTCGGAATCCTAGTTGCGGAATCCCAGTTGCGGAATCCGACCAAATAGTTGCGGAATAATCCTAGTTGCGGAATCCTGCGCAGTTGCGGAACTCGACTTTATCCTCCGCCGATCTCCTTCATGCCATAGAAGAGGCTTTCGACAATGTAGAAGGCCGACATGTAATCTTCTTCATTGAATGGACCTGAGGCTGGACGATGGTCCAAAGAGGAGAGTAACCTTCCATGCTGTGGCGAGCGGCTGTCGTTCCACCACGTGGCGATGGAATCTGCGGGCCCAAAACCATGAAGAGGCGCCCAAAACCATGAAGAGGCTCCGTCCAAAAAGGATAAAAAAACAATGAGTCCGAAAGCATGGCCCAAAGGATTCCGAAACTGCCTGTCTCGAAATCAGAAACTCGGCCTGACCTAGTGGCGAACCATGCTCACCTCTTGGCCAAGACAGCGAGGTGAGACAGCGATGTGACCACGGGGGTCAGAGGACATCCGCTGTTGCTTTGTTTTAATTGAAATCTTAGTACATATTGCGCGGCACTTTTGTCTTATGTTTTAAAGGACAAACATAATTTGTTGTAAACATGAAAAGTGGGAGAAAAATGACACTTCTACCTAAGCTCCAAACCACCAACCCAATACCCTATGCGGACCAATGGTGAACACAGGCTGCGGCTGCGTTGCTGGGGGTATCTGGTATCCCCTCTATCTATTAATCAACCAACCAATATTCAATAAGGCCATCCATTGGGTGAGAAAATAACGTCCAAATCCAACGACCAGAAACCATTCTGAGTTGTGGAAGGCTTCTTCCGAGACCAGGCAGCTGATGGGGCTGCCAATCTTGTATGAGATGCCAAAGTCGGCCAAGACCAGTCCTTCCTTGGCGTCAAGTCTGGCCGAGTCTGGCCGAAGCTCTGACGATTTCGATGTGCCTTCGATCTATCTCAGAGGATCTATGGCCCTCTCCAGGGCCTCAAGTCTGGTGGGTGGAACATGGTGAAACCCGTCGATTTGAACCGTATGAAAACATCCAGGGTGCAGGTGGAAGCAATCCTAAAGGTCTTTTTTGGTTAGCCCAAGAGGTCGGCAACGGTGGCGGTTTCTTGGCTGAAGACTTCGGTGACAAATGTGGATCCAGTGTGTTGGGATACAATTCGAAGGGACACAAATATATATATATATGCTTTGTTGATGTATTAATACTAAATATATACAGTAGATATCAGTATTATACCTAGAAGCACCTGGGGCAGAAATTTCTGCCTCAGTCCGATTTGCCCGGGAGGATTCGCGGATTTAGGGGAAATCCGCGCCAGGTAGGAATTTCCGCGGGCAGCAGGGAATTTTTGCCTCAAGCAAAATCCAACATAGCAACTCAAAAACCATTACAACCTACCAGGTTGTCTCTTCCATTATTGCAGACCACATATCGTTCTGCATAGCTTCACATCTCAAGATCTGACACCCTACGATTTTGACACTTCTAAATTCATGACATTCACAAAGAGGCTGCGACATATGTTCAAGCCCTTCAAAGGCATCAAAGGCACTGTTCTTGAATCCCGCCTTCTACCAGGAAATTTCCGCCGGTTTCCCGGGTATTTCCACCGTTTTCCCGGGTATTTCCGCCTCTTTCCCAGGTATTTCTGCCTTTTTCCCGGGCATTTTCGCGCCAGGTGTTTTCAACTTTGGACTGATTTTAGTCCTTTTGTGATCATTCCGCACAAGAAACCTTCAAAAACAAAGACACATAATATATGATATGATGGTAGCCAGATTTGCAGGTGGAGGTGGAAACTTAAGCGCTGCAAATTGGTTTTTCTCATTGCGGTGACCGTTCCAGGCAGAAATGCCCAATGTAAACCACAAAAATATTCAACTCCTGTAGAATATGTTGTCTTTGTCTGACTGGATTCCTGAAAAGGAATATTCGCGGCAACAAAAATATTTCCGCGGCAAACAGCTGATTTCCGCCCCAGGACGGGAAGAGCCGCTCTTCCCGAAAAAGGCAAGAATTTCTGCCCAAAGGATCTTCTAGGTATATATGATTATGCCTTGATGAGTATCATGATGTACAATCCCATCTACAGGCCCCTGCGGCAGACGAAAGAGATCCCTTCTTCTCGTACCGAGCTTCCGGACAGCCCTTGTCATCAAGGCCTTCGTAGAGGATATTGGCCGCCTTGACGTCGTTGTGAATCCAACCTGTCGTTGTGAATCCAACCGACCCTGCAAGCTCGCTTGAAGCCCAAAGCAAGCGAGCTTGCACACCACTTGATTCCGAAACAGCCGGAACAAGACATATGGATTCGGCAAAAACGAAGCGGAGTTTGACTTTCTTCCAAATCTCTTCCCATGTCTTTCGGATTTCATACGACGCATTCCGTGGTCCGTCCTGAGGTTGAGATATTGTGTCAATTTTCGAGGACTCTAACTGACGTGTGACGAATTTCAGTACGGAAATGAGGCTGGCTAAATCCCTAAGTATTTATGAGGCTCTATAATAAGTGGAGGGGGCATTCCCAAAATACTAAGCAGTCAACCGATGTGCAGGATGTCTATCTTCGTCTCTGGGATTCTCTACCAGGGGATTCTCTGCCAGGGGGGCCGCAAAATCAGACACCCCTTATCCTCTTTTTGGGGCGACGAAAAATTCGACGCCCCGAAAAAACTGGGGACCCTGGTATATAGTTCACAGTTCCACACTGGACTTCCATCAGTTGGCGGCATTGCACGGCTTCTTTAGGTCTTTGAGCACGTCGCCTTTCTCGTGCATGCAGGTCAGGCCGGCCGCCACCTGGCTAAAGACTGTCTGGTAGCAGTGCCTTGGATGATGTTTTGAGGGCGGGCCAGTGCAAGCGGAAAGAACTTGATTCGCCAAGCAATTCAACATGCCGTGGACCAAACGCCTTGGAGATGCTGGAAAATCATACGATTCAGTATGACGTGCGATCATGCAATGTAACGTAATGTGCAAGTTGGCATGGCTTGCGGAGACGTACCTTGCAAGACACCGACGCTTGCGGAGACGTTTTTCAAGCGACTTCGATGGGAACAGAGTCGGGTCGCCATGAGAAGAGAGTCGCCAGCACCCGACTTCGGTCAGGACCTCTTCGTACCCCACAACCCCGACCTGTTGGTGGGTGCTGGTATATGCTTCATTGTGGTTCATATGTGACACACTTAGTCACTTAGTCACACTTTGCGGTTTGATTTCCATGATGCCTCATGTTACAATCTACACATTATATGATAAGTTACAGTATATTAAATAGTAACATTATATCAATTGTTTAACTATGCATATAGGAGTCATATTATATAGTGTATGATAGAGTATGTATTCTTGGACCTGAAGATCTAGACCATGAGTGTGACATGGGCACTCCTGCTATCCAAAGACAAAGACGTGGAAAATTGGGCCGAAAGGCTTGGTACTTACCATCAGGGATTTATTTCTTCATCCATGAACCTTGGCACCATGGATTTCAAATGGTTATTGGAAGGACATCGTCAGGGGATGTCAGGGGTGTCTATAAACCACAATTTTGTGGTAGTGCTGGAAATAATAAATATATACTAGTGTTGTCCGTTGCTACATCTGACATATCTGTTTATTTGTATGTCATTGTCAGTTATTGTCATGCTGTTGTTGTTTATTGCATGATAAACTGAGTAAACGGTCGCCAGCAGTTGAACACAGTTCAAATGATTTGCCAGTTACACGGTTGATCCAGGCCGCCAAGTAGAGGAGAAGTCAGAGTATGCTTACTGCTAATTCAGGGTGCTTGTTGGATGGTGGACCAATGGTGCGGGGGTCCATATCCCACCCTTTGGAAGGTGCTGGCCCACTAAAACATGATTCCCGGAACTCCGATTTAGGGCCCTGAGAAGAAACACACAAGACCAACAAAGCGATCTGTGCATGCAGATCAGAACGTATCCCTTCACAAAAACATCAAAACATCACATCATCCAAGTGCGATCGACTCTCCAACTCCAGCCCCGAAAACGTCACCCATGTCCTTCTTGGACGCGTGGCACGCGTGTCATAATGGGCGTCACTTTCGACCACTTGTGCAGGTCGCCCGCATACATCTTGGTCCTCAGCGATAGAAAAAGGTCCATGTGAACGACCAGTAGTGACCGCTGAAACCAATGGTGTACCATGTGGGTGGTATGGCTGGTATGGATGTGGGCTGCGGATGAATAGACTTTTCAGTCACATGTACAATGTCGTCACAGATCGAAGCCTTCCCAGACACTTCCGATTGCTACAGTGGTTAAGCTATCTGGATACATCTGGGAATGGGTCCTTCCACCTGCAAGCCCGAACAGTCCACCATTTAGCTAACGACCTTCTACGTCGGTAGGTCAGTCAACCAAGAAGTGGATGGTGTTGATTCATGTGCTTTCTGCATCTGTTGTTTTTTGTGTTCTTTCAGACACACACTCCCAGACACCCGGACACCACCGAGACAGATGGTAGGTCAGCCTCTCTCAGAGTCCGAGGGGTTGGTAGGTCAACCGGTCAGTATCCTGGTGCTATGACTCCCAACCAGATAGCCTGAGGGCTTGGGAAAAGGCAAAGGTTGATTGCATATACTCTGGGAGTCCAGTCGACTATAAAAAGAATGGTCTGACGAGTTCGGTGACCCGAGTTACAGGACTTTCCTGCAACCTTCAGTCGGTCCAAATATCGTCGAACTGGACTTCGGTATATACTTCACGACCACTCACTGGCGTGGTAAATCCCAGAACCCGGCCCCGCGGTTCGGCGAACACACCGGTCGGTTCAGCGTACACCGGCGGGGGGCGAACATCGGTTCCACAGTGGCGCGGCTCTTGGGGCGTTTGGGTGGCGGAACTTGGGCCTCGCCAAGGATGCCAACCACCTTTTGGATCGCTGAGGGAGTGCGAATTCACCGTCGACTGCACGAGACCACTCTTGCAACAACGCAGGTCTTTGAATCATGAATCACCCCTCCCGACTGGAAAACCCTCTTCAGGCCTGGGGTGGTGAAATATTCATGAACTAGCGAAGCATGTTTACTACCTGAGACCTGTTCACTCTGGATGCGCTCGGCTGAGACCTGTGTCGACAAAACTCGTTCAAAACACGGCGCCCGGTGTTTCAGACAGTCCGATGCGTCTCGGCGTCTCCCCGGGTGTGACCACCATGTTTGGAAGACCAATAATTCACTGTGTTTAGTGATTGTGTTGCTTTTTTTCATTTCACTGTGTTATTGTTATTGTAATTCACTGTATTTAGTGATTGTTTTGTTCATTTTTGGTCCGAGGTGCACATAGGAGTTCGGCATCTTCTTTCCATCCACGCAGGGAGATTTGTCGATCATGGACAAAACACCTTTGCAAGTACCAACATCATCAAGCACAGCCATCCTCGGTGCTCGACCACATCCAATTAGCGATCTGCGCTGGTGGTTGTTGCTATGTTGTTGTTGTTGTTGTTGTGGTTGTTGTAATGTAAGAATCCTTGGACCCGCAAATGTCCCGACTCAAAACAGTTTGCAAGATCGGATTGGCTGCTTGGATTTGGATCTGGCGGACGTCCACCTCTCCGAAACAGGCAACAATTACCCGCTATTGGCGGCAGGTGGTGACCAGTTGGAGGGTGCTGGTACAAAATGAAAAGATGATACAGTAAATCTGCCCTTCCTCGCGAGGGAGTTGCGAGGAAGATCACTGCATTTCACCGTCTGACAACCAACTGGGCAGAAGCTTCTGCTTGGTCATGTCTCTCGACATGCATACAGTGTATATATCGTTTGACATATGTGGTGTTATTGTGCAACTAGAGTATCACTAGAAATCAGAAGTATTGAAGTACACATCGTATGACATAGAACTTATTAATATATGCAGGCTCCTCTCCATGTTGGGACTTCATTCAAGTATTGCCAAGAAACTCTTTCTGCGTGCTTCTGATGCCACGGTCCCCCTTGGGAATTTTCAGAGCAAAGCCGCGCTGTCTCTGCCGTCTTTTATACCACTTCCTGGGAAACAATGAAGAGACCACCGGGGACAATATAAACAACGTCTAAAGTCATAAGGTCGATCATTGAAAAACGAAGACCTGCCATTGCTGTTGATAAGGATGTCCTAAGACCAGCACTCGAAGACCAGCCTAGGGTCGGCCCGGGACCGAATCAACTGAGCTAGGCTCCAAAGGAGATGGATTAGAGAGGACTGAACCCGAACCGGTCTTTTCCGGGATCGATCGCGGCCATCGGATCCGATCGGTCACAGGCTCTTGGCTCGGGATCCCGTCCGCTCATCCTTCGCTCCCTAACGGCCGAACCTGGTTCGGTCCCCACTTCCGCCGCCCGTCTCCAAAGGAAACCCCCCAAAGGTTCGCTGGTTTCATGGGTCGAAAGGGTGTTGTCTCAACGCCAGAAGTTGGAGTCGTTGGTTTCATGGGTGAGACAAGGACTCCTACATGGCACAGCGGTGATAGTTGTTGACAAAAGTTACTGTGTGCACCAAAAACTCAGCCACATGTTCACTTTTAATCTACCCACTGACATCGAAACGGTCACCACACAAACTACAAACGACCTTTTTTGAAATGTTCTTCAGGTTTCTTCAACTGTACTTTCTGTGCAGCCTTGTAAAGCCGGAAGGGTAGCTCAGCGAGCAACAAACACAGGGGGATCAGCTACTGATCTGAGTCGCCACTCAACTGAAACGAGATTGGCGTGATTGCTCATAGTCGTCCCGCAATATTCTTTGTTGATCCCTAGAGTATCAATGGCACTGAATCTTGCTTCTGGATCGAAACCATTCCCAAACATTCCATGAAACTGGCAACTGGCAAATGTATCGATCAGTTGGGAATGGTTTCAGGGGTAAATGTAGATAATATAAGTTCTAAAAACAAGGAAACTCACTCTGCTACCTGGACCAACAAAATCCGACACTCCAGGCTTCTCATGAATCTTCTTCTCAACCTCATAGACAGTACCATACACTCCTGTCGTTTGGAGCTGAACCAATCCCGAGATACAGGAAAGCGATGCTTGTTACTTGAGGAGAGGACACATACATGTCACATATTCAAACATTTATAAATTCAAAACTTTACTTAATTTCATACATATATGTTGTTTTTAGATGTTTTTAGATATGTTTGTACTTGGACACAACGAGCAGCTCGAAAAAGGGGAGCGAGCATATGCGGCCCGGAGCTCGAAAACGGGAAGACTGAAGAAGCTCTCTTTGAATGTATTTGAATGGGATAACTTTAATGGTTTACATGCAAATTGGAACACATATGAAACTGAATTGTTTTAGTATGCCATCAAGTATATATATATAATACATTCTAATACTATCTGTAATATTGATCAACAGACTGTTAGAGCTTAATTACATGAGATGACACACACCATTTCACCGGTTCGGACCTTCCACGCTCTCACTGGCCCCAAAACGGCTCTCGGAACCAAGTCGTCGATGCAAACTGGGGACGGTCGTTCCCTGCCACACGTTTGTTCTCCAACCCCAAGCATTGGGATGTCGAGCCGTTGCCAAGCCTACGTTGCAACAATCGTCCAAGGCCATGGAAAAATAGAACTTCAGCCCCTGACCAAACACCCACATCCCCGTCTCATCCCGGCTGGTTCCACCTGCACCGAGCACCTTCTTGGTCTTCGCATATCCGTCCCTGCAGCCCTCCTAGCGATCCGATCGAGATGAGAAGGTCGAATGAAGGGCGACCTGCCGAAGTCGGGCGAAGACGGTGCCCAAAAGAAAAGCAGGCTTAACTCGTAGTACCGTAGGGCGATCTGATCAAAGTTGGATTTCTTGGAAGACTGGTTCCAAAACGAAAGAAAAAAAAACTGACAAGGATGAGAATTCTCCAAACCTGACCGATGTCAGACCGATGTTGGGTGGATTCTCATGGATTGTGGATCTGCTTATGGATATGGACGTCCACATCTCGCTGAAATACCACGGCGTGACCATATATCACGGTCCGTGACCATATATCCCCCCAGCTTCTTTCCAATCTGCCTCTCCTCCGTGGACTCCATCTCCTTTTCTAGGAGGCCACTTGGCACGTCCTCGAAGCCTTCAAGGCTCGACCCGAAGACCTTGACGCGCGGGGTGATGGGTGACGGCAAGGTCGTGGCGGACTTGTTGAGCTCGTGCAGCGAAGCCATCACGTCTTCATCCAACTGTTGGATCAGCTCCTGACAGGTCGGCAGGTCTAACATGTGCGGCGAAGCACGGTTCTCCAGGGTTTTTGGGGGGGTGGGATGGTTCCAATGGTTTGTTGTGTGGGCTCCTCGCCCTCAAAACATCTTTGCCAAGACATTGCCCCAATGTTTCATCCGGGTAGTCCACAAGTGAGCTGAATTTCAGAAACCAGCGCTGTGACTTATGCCCTGAATTTATATACCTAGAACCTGAGTGACCTCCCCTTTTGGACCACCAACCACTTCAAAATAGGGTCCAAAATTCCTATCAAAACAGAGGTGAAATAGGTGAAACAGGTACGGTATGTACATGGGGTTCTAGTCTAAAGGTTGGAGGTTTGGGAGTCATGTCAAGGCTTGGAGTCATCAAGTAGACTACGCTGTTTTTTTGTTGTTGAGTGGCTTAGCTCCGTGGCTTCCCGTCAAATCCGCAAAGGAAAAGCTTTCTCGTATACGAGGCAACCCAACTGGTCCCATTTCTGAGAAAAGGCCTCCTTTCCTTCTTCAAAAAATAGCCCTTTTCAGAGCCTTTTCATGTTGTTTCATTCAAATAGCAATTCCTATAGGCCTAACAAACTCCCTAGAACTGCACTCCCCTCATGATCTGCACTGTCGAGCGATGTTGACTCGTCAATCAAGATCCAACATTTGCTGGTCTCCCTATAGTCTAAAGTTACACCACCACTCCAATGGACGCTTGCCCTCCATTCTCCACCCAATGTATTCTCCAATGGGGTCTAGCTACCTCCAAATCAAGTTTGGGATGAGCACGCACTGAGGAGCGTCAATGTATACATTCAATCTACGAATGCTGCAAGCAACCCCGGCCCCCTAATTTTCCAGCTGAGAGGCATATTCCTTCTCCTCTTTTGGCATGGACCGCACACCCGTGGCGTATCTCATAAAGATGCACAGAAGACCGACCGCACAAAGGAGTTTGGCCATGGCGGTGAGCAACGCGAAACAACTGTTTCTCAGAACAACGGGAGGTGGTGCGACAACCGTCTGGCTTGAGATGCGGCTGCAGCGTCTTGTTGCACTGAAACTGCAGTTTGCACTCAGATTCTTCACATGTAATTATAAGCCCTATAGGGCTCCAACCATATCCTCAGAAGGTGGTTGGACCCCCAACCATCTTCTCAGGAGGTAAATGGAGCCCTAGGGAAGTTAAGCATCATACATCATGCACAGCTCACCCTTTCAAAACCGACGACTCAGTGTATTCTCGTTGACCCTTGTGATTCACAGTGGGGCATTTGTATCCCGGGAAAACGCACGAATTCCATGGCTCCACAACGATCTGCGCTGAGTCCGTCTGAGTCCGTTCCTTCGCATCCCGACCATCTGGGACGCAAGTCCATGTCCGTTTCCTGCTTCAGTACACCCGGCGTGGGAGACCACTAATGGCATGGACCCGACTGGAAGACCATGTTTTTCTCTTCTTGATCCGATCGATGCGATCCTGAGGGATGTCAAAGGATATGTGGATGAATATCTGATACTTCTATAAGTGGATTGCTTTTGAGGTTGCTTCATTTGGCCTCCGAGACGTCCCCCCATTACAGCAGTTTTTTACTTTTTTTCGCGAGGCCTAAGCAAGTCATCCCACATAAAACGACAATACCAGCAACAGGGAAAGGGTGGCTATGGGAAAATCAATACTAGTCAGGGATGTCTACAAACCATCCCTTCCGTGGTGCTAAGCCCTACAGTAGGATTCATTTCTGCCCTTTTTCTTCTTTTTGTTGAAAATGGGAGGTCCCAGGATGCAACTCACGTAGGTGATGGACAAGGGTCACCCTGACCCACCTGTGGTGCGCGGTTTCGCCGCACGGAGCGGCCACGTAAAAAGGCGACATCCGACGCACAAACCGGTTTCCACCGGCGACGCGGCGACGGCTGAAACCTGGAACTCAAAAATGGCTTAGACTACTAGTAAGGCACCTGTTACTACTAGCGTGGCACTTGTTCCTACTAGCAACTCATACTTATCCACTTCTATGTTAGTCAGAAAGTGTGAATGGCTGAATGATGCTGTGAACACCTTCCGCCTGCCCTGATGCAGCCGACATGTCGGTTTGGTTTCTCATGAACCTCGGTGAGAACAGTGACCAGGTGGAACATCTGGGAAGGCAACATCCGCTATCCAATGCAGGAGCATGGAAGCAAATCCAACAAACTAAGCGGCGCGTATTGAGAAGATGCGTGGCTGCACCTTTTGTCGCAAGCTGACCCAGGAGAGGTGTAGGAAACGACCAAATGAACTTCAACAGGCTCTTCGCCCCTGAGAAGGGACGCCAGTCCGTCACAACAAAAGGGGGCTTAGGCTTAGTCAGGAAGGCATGGAATCCAAATGGAATCCTCTCTTGCCCGAACTTGGTGGTCCCAACCCCAACCCCGGTCGACCAAGGCAAGTGCCCCTTCTTCCTTCGTCTTGGTCGACCTATTTCACCCATCCGGAAAAAGCGGGTCACGCCGGTCCGCCGGTGCTGTTTTGGACCCGACCGGTGCTGCGCTGAAGAGTCGGTCAGGGAAGGAGTTTGGTGCGTCCAGGGCCCATGGGGCCACAGGCACCAGCGCCCAACTTCTTTTGGAGGCCAGGTTCTTCGTACTTGTTCCAAATGCGATAAATCATGAACGCGAGAGAGCACCTCGTCAAGGTCGGAACATCACTGCAAGGATTGCGATTGTTTTATCCTAGACCAAAGAAGTAGTGAACAGTGAAATGCACGAGTACTTCAGAAGGAGCAAGGACGCTACTAGGGACTCCTGGCCTTACCACTAGGAGCAAGGACGCTACTAGAAGCAAAGGGCATCGCTACTAGGAACAAGGACGCTACTAGTAGCTCCTGGCCTTACTACTAGAGCGGATTGCTGCGCTGACCATCCGCACTTTCCCACACAACTCTGCAAACCCGGCGTTGATCCACATGTCACATGTCCTAGACCCAAATTCAACCCTCAACTCTTGTCATGTCTGTTTGCGCATGGCTGGTCCAAGATCGTCTACTTCCCGGAAATGGAATGTATTTTTTGCATGAAAACAGCCATTTTTCAGCCACGGCCATCATGGATCTATCTCCAGTTCTTTGGGATCTATCTGCACCGTGCCTCAAAAATAACAGGTCTCTCTGAATGAGGCCTCGTCCAGTCCAGCCCTGACGAATTCACATTTGACCAATGCCTATATTTCTTGGATTGTCTCTTTGCACAAGAGGTTTTGCGGCACATTGGGTTCAATGCAGCGAGCTTTGATATCAAGAACGACAACAGGACGTTCAACAGGAACTATGACAATATGCTGCAAGACAAGCTTCATGGAACTTCTGAAGCTAGGGTTTCTTCGTATCTTTACTCCACATGAAAACTGTGACACTCAAACTGTTCAGCCTCCTGCAAAATCACCCGGGCAAAATATGTACTACAAAATGACTGTTTGCCTATGAACTTGATTTTGTTGGAAGAAAACAATTTAATTACATGCAATTGCTGTACTACAAACTGCACTGTCCAGCGGCTGTTGCATTCTTTGTCATCAAACACGACCTCACTACAAAATGACTGCCCTGAAATGTTTTTACTGCAGAATGCAGTTTTGTTGTGACCGACAAGTCATTTCCTAGTGGAAATTCCATCGAACATTGAAACAAAAAAACACGACGTTGGCTGAAACACTCCCAAGAATCAGCCCTTCATTTCTATCTTGAACCACCATATGATTGTCCGTCAAGCGAACATATGCAACATCAGTGAGGCATCCCCGGGCCATGTTGTGCTTACGTTTGGTGTTGTCTGCTTTCATGCTTGTCCTGGTGTGTTGATGATGATTATATGTATATACATGCATGTGTTGTGGTTGTGGTGCAGTTGTCTGTGTAGTGTTGTGGCGATTTTGCTGACCTAATTTTACTATATATATATATATATGTGTGTGTGTCTTTTGTTGTCGGCTGTCATGTCGGGCCGCTGGCTGGACCACCGGGTTTGGCTACTGGCAGGGTGTCCGGTGCTTCTGTTTGGTGTGGTCATTGTGTATGTGTTGTCTCGTGTCTTCTTCATTGCTTGTTGTCTGTTGTCGTGTTGTCGGTGTTTCTGTGTCTGTTTGGTGCTGTGATCTGTACAGTGTCATTGGACCGGCCAAGCTGCAGCAGAGGTCACGATAGGGGTCGGGACTCTAATCGGGATTTTGGTTTAATTGTTTTTTGTGGTCTGTGTGGTTCTCAATGGGAAAGGCATTACAAGTAGAGATTTTGTCTAGAAGAACCGTCAAAAGCAAATAATCCATTAGAAAACTCATCAAAAGAGAGATTTCAATATAAACGTCTTAAACAATAATGATTTTGCCAGAAAAATTATCAAACGTAGCGATTGTAATGGGTCAAAATGAGAGATTTTGACTAGTAAAGTCATCAAGAGCAGAGAATTCAGCAGACAATTCATCAAACATGTTTCAGGAGAAAAGCTATCAAAAGTAGAGATTTTAAGGGAAAAGGCATCAAAAGTAGATGTTTCGACTAGAAAAGTGCAAAAGTAGATATTTTGACTAGAAAAGTGCTCGAAAACAGATATTTTAGTAGAGAATAGAGATTTCAATAGATGTGTCATAAAAAGTCGAGATTTCGATAGAAGAGGCATCACGATAGAAATGTTTTCCATTGTTTTGCTGCTGGTGCTCCTGGGTCAAATGATTTTTGGGTATGGTCAGGTTTGCCCTAGACCCCTAGACCGAGCTGAGCCCCATTCTCAAAGTGAGGGCCCCTCTCTAAGAAAAAGAGTGAGCGAGAGAGAGAGAGAGAGAGAAAAAAAAAAAAAGACACGGAAAAAAAACAAGAGCGAGAGGGGGCACTGAAATTAAAAAGAGGGAGGAGGTGTGGGGGAGGGCGCAGCGCCTCCCCCGCAATGAACACAATGTATAGTGAGCATCCCAGCACTGAAACCAAAACCTCGAGAGTTGTGGGGGGCGCGGGGAGGGCTGGGTGAGTGTTCAGGTGAATCAGTGGCTGAGAAAGAGAGGAAGAGTCAGGAAAGTGAGTGGTTAGATGAGTGAGTGAAAGTGCTACTGGGTCAAATGTTTTTTGGGTATGGACAGGTTTGCCCTAGACATAGCTGAGCACCATTCTCAAAGTGCGGGCCCCTCTTAGAACAAGAGAGAGGGAGAGAGAGAGAAAGACGAACAAAAAATGTTAATACTCAGAAAGAGCGGGAAAAGAGCCAAGAGCCACAAAAGCCAAAACCCACACACAGAAGCCAAAAGCCACAAAAGCCAACAGCCAGACAGAAGCCAAAGCCACAAAAGCCACAACCCACACAGAAGCCAAAAGCCACAAAAGCCACACAACCCAAAAGCCACGAAAGCCAAAAGCCACAGAAGCCAAAAGCCACAAAAGCCAGAAGCCGCAAATGCCAGAAGCCACAAAAGCCACAGAAGCCCAGCCACAAAAGGCACAGAAGCCAAAAGCCACCAAAGCCACCTAACCACTAAAAACCAAAAAACAAAAAAAAATCAAATTCCCCTTGAAATCATCCTCCTCACGATAGGGTGGGGACGTGGGTGTGTGTTCATTTCCTACGAATCCACATACCTCTCAGGAGGTACGACTGGGCCCTCCCGGCGCCTACATAAATAGTCTTCTGAGAAGGTACGACTGGATCCCTATCTCAACCCTCCGGAAGAACCGAAATGGACCAGTGCCCCCCAGTGCTTTCCCCGGCGCAGGTCGATCTTCGGGTCGGCCGTGGGCATGAGCACGGAGCGGCCGTTCTGCAGCGTAAAGCTCTGGACGATCTTCAGGGGATCCTCGAGGCGGTGTCCGACGAGCGGGTTGGCTTCCCGACCTCCGACTCTTCCCGGGCCCAACCCGAACCGCGAAGTGGTGGAAGGTCTGACCATGAAGGCGCCCAAATGGGCGCGAGAAAGCCAATCCCTTTTTGATGATGTGTTCACTTGTTCTTCCGTTCTTCCAACAACTTCGCCCCCGATGCAGATTGAAGCAGACTGATCCCCTATCCTTCCACCTTCAAGCAACAAATCACCGCTGGGCGAATCACCAAATGACCACAACAAGGACCTGCGGAGTTGCTGCGAAATGGGTCAATAATATAATATATGGGTCATGTGGAATCTCGCCGTCTCCGCCATCTCCTTCATGCCATAGAAGAGGCTTTCGACAATATAGAAGGCCGACATGTAATCTTCTTCATTGAAGGCACCTGAGGCTGGACGATGGTCCAAAGTAGGATTCCGGAGAGCCTCCCACAGTGGCGATTCCATGAAAAGGACCATTCTTGGGCGAGACCGTTGCACGTCTCTACAACGAGTTCTTAGGTTGGAGGCCATCGCTAGTATGTTGGAGGATGTTGGAGGCCATTGCTCTTAGGTTGGAGGCCATCGCTAGTATGTTGGAGGATGTTGGAGGCCATTGCTCTTAGGTTGGAGGCCATCGC